TCTCAATATCTGTGTCTTGGACGACACGTCGATGAGACTTTCGGAGACCTTCGGCAAGTTGGCTTCTTCGTGGCGCAAGAGCCGTATTATAACAATTCTCAGTATGCTGCAGACGTTAGTGTTGCGTGTCGCTCCAGATACTGAGGGTGAAGCAACGTCCAACCAGCAAGATGACTGCCAGTACGAATGCTTCGTCGCCCCAACGCCACTGGTCCCGTTGGCGCGTGCCAACACTGCGTCACTCTTGTCCGGCATGACCGGCTGGCTCTTGCTTTCTTTTGCCAAGGTGGGCACATTGGGGGAGCGCCTTCTTCGCTTGGCCGGATTGGGCCCTGACGCGGTCAAGACCCATGCTCCCATGCAGACCTTTTGGCTGTGTTGGGATTCATTGAAAACCAATGTTGCCGTTTTGAAAAGCTTGCGGGTGGCACAGACACGGGTGCAGCAAGATGACGCGGCACGATTCGTTCTGTCTTGCAAATGCCTCATTCACCAGGCTGCACTTGTGCGGAAGACGATAATCAACAGCTTTCCGGGGCATTTCTCATCCATTGTCCGCCTAGGTCACCCTTACGAGATTCATTCCTTTAGAAGTGATTTTCGCAGGGCGTTGATTGGAGTTGTGGAGGACAGCTTTAGGTTCGTGGAGGTTCCTGAGCTGCCACCTGAGTGCGAAGCAGCATCGATGCAGGACAGCGATCCCAGCTACAGCCGGGTGAGGAGGTCACTTCATCAACAGCTGATGACATGGGACAATGGCGATTGCTCGAAAGATGCCATTGTGCATTACTGTACTGGCAATTGTTGTGTTGGAAGTTCTACGGATGAGAGGCGGGAGTATGCAAAATTGCAGGTTTGCAAGATCTTGTACCTGATCTTTGGATTGGGCTATCCGCTACCTTTGTTGTACCGGTGGCTCCATGTTCACCGTGCATTGCAGTTTTGCCGCGAAGGAATCTCGATCCATCGGCTGTTGCCACGTGTCCTTGAAAAGATGAAGAAGCCACACAAACAGACTGCTTCAGAATTGCTTCTTTGTGCCAGGATTGAAGAGGCAGATGTGGCAGACGAAGAACCTGATGAAACCAGGCTCGAGGAAACTCCAGCTGCATTGGCGCAGAAACGGCGACTTTTGACTTCCAACGCTTTTGCAGATCCTTTGTTTCTCCAGCGAACAGTGTTGTTGGAGACACTCACAGCACCTATTGCGGTAACGATGCACTCTTTGCTCAAGCGATCGGGGCAGCTCGCGCAGCTTGCACATCTTCCTCGTGCAGCCGAAGACCGTGACAGGTTGAGACAAGAGAGCCCTGTCTCTGTGTAGTTGTAAATAAATAATAAATACCTTGAGAATGTTTTAAGCCGTTTAGTTCGTTGAAGCCGTTTTAACATTTCCCTCTCCCATTTTTCCGAAGGGCCCTTCCATCCCGTAGATTTGAGCCTTGAGTTGGGTGGAGTTAGTTAGAGGTTTCTTTAGAATTCAGATTACGGGTCTCGGTTGAGGGAGTTCGGGTCGATGGTTCAAGGCGTACTGTTCGATTCCAGTAAACAGCCCCTTCCCATTATGTTTATTATGGCTTAGGATTCAGGGTCTAGGCCGCTTTAGGGTTTTAGGATTTCAAATCACGCTGAACCGCGAGGACTTCTCAGCTATTCCTTCACTATGTTTCCAAAGAACTGGGCCGTTCATGGATTCGGGAGCAGTGTCTGGTCTTGGCAAGATTCCATGAACTCAAACTGCCCAGAATGGCCCGGGTTGCTTTTGAAGTCAGTGTCACCGTGCTGACAGAGATTTGGAGACGGTTCGTGTTGCAGCAAGATAGTTTTCCTACCTGTTCCAGACTTCTTGGAAAAGTACTTCAAACTGAAAGCTCGTGGCGCTTTGTGCTCACGATGTGTGGATCCCGAGTTTAGCAAACCTTTCTTGGCAGTCATTTCCCAATCGGAACCTGGTGAGGAGCAGAAAGCCAAAGCTTCGAGATTGATGGCTGTTCTCAGAGACATCAGTGTTTGGGCACCAATTTCTTCCGACCTCGTTGAATGTCTTCATGGTGTGAACCAGTGTCGTCTGCATCGATGGCGGGGCCTCAAGCCGACCGACGAAAGTGCTCAGCAATTGACTGCTTGGGCCAGCATAACGACCGCGTATGCCAAGTTCAAAGATGTGGTTTGGGCCCGGCTGGGTGACAAGTTTGCAGGCAAGAGGCTTGCTAGATATGGGCAACCTGGCAGGAATCAATATAGCAATCCAAGCGACCAAAGGTCGCGAGTGCGTCGAATGACTGTGCAAGACTTGCAAGAGTTGGCCAACGAGGCGCCTGGTGCAACAGCTGGAAGCAAAAGAAAACTTTGTGGCTGGAACATGTTCCAAAAGGAAGCTTTTGCTGCTCGTCATTATAGCCCGCAGGAGTGGCAGCAAAAGGCGGTGGAATTGGGGACTGCGTGGCGCAACTTGTCTGCGGAGGACAAGGAGGGCTACGAGGCAGAAGCCAGGCATCAACAACATGCAGTGGACGAGGCCAGATTGCAGCCCTTCCCCTCCAAGCAATCGATAAAGGACGGGAATAAAGCGGCACCGCAGGGTTGCAGCGCTTTCGATGCTGTGTCTTTGCTGAAAGAGAACTCCAAAACATTGACAAGAGTCTCCATGGACCGGCTCATCACAACTCAGAGAATCTTTCAGGATGCAGATGTGTGGCAAGAGTTCAATGGCGGAATCTCCTGTGCACGAGGTTGTTTGCCACTTGATGCCGTCGACCTGAGCACGACGGACGCTGTGTTGTCGGCCCGGTGGAATCAGGCTGTGAACGAGCCTCTGACCCATGAAGTGCCCCTTGCTGAAGGTGCCTCTCAGGTGCACCATGTGACATGCCAACGATCTCACGGAGAGTGCCATCAATTGCCGCACCAACGAGTTGCTGCATCACTGCTAGCCGAGATGGTGAAGATGATGCTCAGTGATGGTGATGACGCAGGAGTGAGCCAGGGTTTTGAATTCCATTAGTTCTTCAAGGCCTGGGTGTAGATTTGTCTCTAGTCTAGATATCATATCAGGATTAATTTGATACTTCCGGAGAATATGCTTTTCAGCCTGGCTTGGTCTGAGGGCGAATTTGGGTTTGTTTTTCGGTTCCAGGAACAATGTGATTTGAGATTTCAGGAGACAAGATGCTTCGGCCTGGCGCGATGATACAGTTCATGGAAGACGATTGCAAGGATATTTTCTTTCTCGGTGCACCTGTGCAAAAGCCTCGTCAGCTGATTATGATGCAAGGGTTCGAGAGTTGGGACAATGGTCGGGCTTCCGTCTCCTTGCGATCCCCTGCAAATGCAGAGTATTGCTTTCGAACCTTTCATGAAGTGATTCAGACTGTGCTTTCTGGGAGGGTGTCTGCAATTCAGGAGATTTCTTTTCCAACATCTGAGAGCCTGACAACAGTTTGCACCACACCAGATGAAGACTTGAGAGATATTGCCCGGCATGTGAAGCTTCAGCTACCAGTGAAGACGAAAGCAGTCAAGAAGCAGCTGCCATTTGGATTAGTGCCACCGAAAAAGAATCGGAGGCGAGCTGCGAAAAAACAGAGCGGCCCTGAGCAGCAGAAGAAGCCGCGACAGGAGGTCGATGGTTGTATTCGGAGAGTGCCTTTTTCATTGGGCGTGGGAGCTCAGGTCGTTGCTGCTTCGCTTGCGCAACAATGTCCTGACGATTCTTCCGATTCCGATTCTTCCGATTCTTATGCTGGCCCGTCAAGTTCATCATGTAATGAGAGCCGGTCAGATGCGTGCTTGATTTCAGAGTCCTCCGGTGCGGAGACGGACTCTAGCTTGAAAGCTGCTGGGGCGGTGGTCTTGAATGAAGAGCGGGAGATCAGAGATGTCGAAGAAGCGATGCCAAGTGCCCCAGCGGAATCGTCCAACCAACCTGCTCCTAGATCAGATCAGAAAACTTTTTGCAACACAAATCTGGGTGTCGTGGACTTGGGCTGGCAGCAATCAAAGCGTCTTGCAACATGCAGGCAGTGCTGTCAGAAGATATCCGTTGGAGACGGCAGAGTGGCTTGGGCGTACAATGTCAAAAAATTCCACGCCTGGTTGCACACAGCGTGCTTGCTGCCTCATCTACGACAACAGCACGAAGACATGCAGCCAGCAGTACAGCAGGCTATCGTTTTTCTTACAGATTGGTTGGCCCAACATGCTGAAGACAGTAAACCGCCTGTGTTTGTAGACCTGCTAAATCAGCTGCAGCAATCTGTGCCGCTGTGATCACAAAGACACAAAAGGCATTGTGTCATGGCCCGGAAAAAATCTAGGATTGCTGGAGAGCCGGCCTCGCCCACTTGTTTTGATTCGGTCTCGTCCGGAAGCTTCACTATGTCACTATGTAATGTAAGACTACTACTACTACTATGTATGATGTACGGTGACTCATACTGGCATGTCTTTCTTTGGCTGGGCCAGGCACCAATCGACTTCTTCTTTTATGGGAAAGTTGGGGATGTGGTGTACGGCCTGAAGGTCCAGGAGCCTGGATACAAACCGTATCATATCAAAGTGCTCTTCCTGCGGATCATTGCTTGATTTCATTTCAACCAGCACATTACGTGACACATCCTTTGGTTCTGGTGTTGAGCTGTTCTGATGCTCTTAGTAGCCGGGTGAGTGTTGTGTAAGGAGCGATTGCTTTGGATCGCCCACCCACCGGAAACGATGCTACATTTTGGGTGCCAGAGTGGATGTGGCTTCGCAGGAGTCCTTTGAGGCCACTTGAAGGGTTGACTGCCAGCTTGACTCAGCTGACCACATGGCAAAAGTTGTGGTTTGGTCTTCTAAGGCGCTCTGTCGATTCGTGGAGTATGACTGCCCTCTAATCCATGACACGACCACCATTTCGGATTGTGCCATGTCTGTTGTACCATGCTTGGCCCGTGTTGCGCGTGCTTGCACTGATGAGTTGAATGTGCCGTATCCTGGCATCCTTCTGAGGCTGGTCGTATATGGAAGCTCTTGGACTTCTTGAAGATGGAGGGACCCTTCCAGGCAAATCCCGAGCCACTCAGCTGATAAGGTCTGTCACTGTCAGTCTGTCCAGATTGCTCAAACCTTTGCACCGGCCCACCCCGGCCCACCCCACCCCCTCCCTCCCGCTCCACCCTGCCCCAGCTGACGCTCAGTGCCGGCACTGCCTCAAAACGGTTTTGGGGACTGTTTTGTTCCAGGATGGCCGCATCAACGCAGAAGCCCAGCGGAAATTGGGAGAGACCCTCGAATCCTTGGGGATTGCTGGAGAAGGCAGGGCAAGGCAGCACATGTTTACCCCGGGACGCTGATCGTTCATTCATGCTGTGAGGCAACGGGCCCTACTGCAGCCAGCTGCAACCGGACAAGAGGTCTTTGCTGAATGTCCGAGAGAAGGTCAAGCTGGACGTGGAGTTCAAGCGATTGCAGGACAGGTTTGACTTCCAACAATGTTTTACATAAGCTATGTAAAGTTATGTAGTACTCTGTTGAGGGCTATGATATGAGTCATGGTCCATGGACTTACGGTTGTTGACCGCAGATAGTCATGCACAGATTCTTAATTTGGCCGCAATCCGTTATAACAGAACAAGGGTAGCAAAGCTGTTGTACATCGTTTCAAACAACCATCATATAACTATCATATAACCATCATATAACCCTATAAGACAGGGGAAACAAAACCGTTTAAAACCGTTTTGCATCCCTGTAACTGGCAAAGCACAATAGTTTAAAACCGTTTAAAACCGTTTAAAACCGATTGGGAAGTTGACAGGTTATTACGGGGACACAAAACCGTTTAAAACCGTTTTGCAACGCGCAACATAAGCTGCTATATTGTCAACTATATAGCCTTTATAACTTATAACTTATAACTTATAACTTATCATTTATAACTTACAACTTATAACTTACAACATATAATATAACTTATAACTTATAGCTGTGTCAAGACTATAACTATATTATAACAATCAATCACTGTATATGTCATTTACGACTAGACATAGAAATAGCGATGGTCTTGTGAATAATTTCGTTGTGGTTCAATAACTACTACATACGAATAATTAGTGAGGCCATCAACATCTGGCAAAACGCATTTGGATAGGTATTCTTCAATCAAACCTCTTTCTAGGCCCAAACTGTGTTCAAACCTAACAGTCCCCTAAACCCTAAACCCTGAGCTCATGCCAACACACCTAAGGTCAGCACTATCGTCTTCATGCCCGTATGTGTGCATGCAAGCATTCTGTCTTACTCTCGAAGCCATGCCATGCTTCTAAGAGCGTTTTGGATTTGGCAAGATTTCTGAAGTCTGGTTGACAGTTCGACGGCTGAGGGTCATATGGTTTGATGATCGCATCAAGAAATGTAAACTTGAATTTAACGCCTGAAAGATGCATGACGTGAAAAGCAACGACGAACACGTTATGTTGTACTAGTCACACCTTGAGGTCGTTTGGGACCCAGACCCGGGATGTTCTGCTTATTCCATGCAACACACTCTCGGAGCCTCTGCTCATTAGTAAGGCCCGACCCATTCCAGGACCGAGGAGCCGCCATTGATGATGATGCTTATGTGGATGTAGCAAGTCATGGCCTCAATCGGCCCTAGTCCGCTGTTCTTTCGGGTTTTTGAACAGTTGCCAAGATTTGGGCTTTGTGTTGGGATTCGGACACAGCGATCCTGATTGACCCGGGATTGACCCATACAGTCCAGCATACAAGTCACACACATCATGTCAAGTCGTAGCCAGAAACTCCAGCACGATGGATCCTGTCGTTGTGCTACTTTACCGCAGCAAACCAACATAAGGAAGTGTGATGAACAGCAACATTGGCGTCTACGCCCGTGGTGGCTTGGGTCCTGCACTGACATGCCACATGAAGCTCTGGTCTTTTCGACGACAACAGTTTGTGCCAGCGGAGGCTGCCGTGGCTGCAAACTGGAGCCATGGTAATATGTGTGACATGACATGACATTGTTTAACGGACAGCGACAGTGACCTTGCAAAGCTTAGGTTCTCATGGCAGCGCAAGGATTCGATCCTGCTGATTTTCTGTTTTCGGACCGTGATTACAAGATGTACAACCGGCTGGCAGGGAACAGCATGAGCACTGCCGTTGCCGGTGCATGTGTTATGGCTTTGAGACTCGGCATTGCATCTTGACAAGTTTCCAGCCGGAGTGCCAGTTGGGTTCTCTAGTTCCACACTCGCAGTCTTGTACAGTGCCAGTGCTGTTACAATTGGCGCCATCCCGTTTTCTTTCATCACTTGTGTTGTTCCCCCCACACAAGGATTATTTATGTCTTGGCTCGTCGACCTGATGGACGGCTCCGTAGCATAATACAGAACGATGGCTGTTGTGGTTTGGTTCGGGGGCCATTGGTGTTGCATCTGAGGCACCTTCGTTCTCTTCCTCTTAGGTATGGGGAACGGATCGAATCTCCTGACATGTGTGCAGACAGCCAGTCAAGTGACTCCGAGTCTTCTTCGAGCAGTAACATGGAGGAAGAAATGAGCGTCGACGAGGATGAAGAATACAGCGAATCAAGTGAATCGGGAAGTTCAGCTGCTCGCCATTCGCCCAGTGCAATGGACTGGGACTCTGACGAAACATTGATCTTGGGGCAGCATCTTCTCTGATAGCTTATTCTCGGCTGTGCGAGCCCATGTTTGTGATTGCCATTCAGTCCGGCAGTTTTGATGAAGAGCTGTGCCGAGTGATTTTGTGCGCTGTAAAAGAAGGGATGGCCGATGGCCGTGCTTGCATGCATGTGAAGCAGTCAGCAGCCACCGGGCTGGCTGCTTTCTCAAAGTCTGACATGACATGGTCACTGTGGAGTTAGGATACTGTTGCACATTGAAGGTTGTCGCTTGTCGGCTGGCTGTAGGCTTGGCTGACACAGCACCGGCCAGTGAAGGCTGCTTTTGTGAGGTTTGCAGCTTAAGACAGGCCAACTCTTGTACCAGTGATCTTGGTTTCGCCATGTCGGACGTCGACGAAGACTACGGCGACCTCACTTGTGACCTGTGCGCCCAAACGTTTGGACAGGACGACAAGGACAGTGCCGGGTTGAATTCTGAATGCTTTTCAGTTCTTTCTGGCCACATTATGTCACTCTAATTTGACAGATGCGGTGCATGGTACGCCATCCTGTGAACAAACCTGCAGCCTGCAGGATAAGCCTCCTTCGATCAAGGATTTCATTTCCGTTCAACCGGCTTCTGCGACTGCCTCTGTTTGCAAGCCATGCTACTACGTGAAGCGTGGATCTTTTCAAAACTCCAAACAGCGTGCATTGTCAGCGGCCATGGAAGAGCACCCAGCAGTCAAAGAGAAGCTGCTTGTCAGACCTTCGCATGTTTTCATGCCTGGCCTGTCACCCTTCAGTTGAATCCTTCCCAAGTGGCCTAACGGGCTTGGAAAGGGGTTGGGTGCCATGCATTGATTTGCTTGCGCTCATGTTGCTGCTAATGGCTGAGAAGATGCACGGACAGTTAGATTCGCAGGTTTGATGCGCTGCGCTCAGCTTTCGTGCAGAACCAGGCATTGCACCCCAAGAAGAAGGCCAGGCACGAGCGGTGCAACCTCCAGGAATTGGTGAAGCGATCGAGTGAAGACTACGTAGACTTCCAATCAGCCACTTGCAATATCTACTGAGTGTTTTTGTTGCTGCGCGCGTCGTCCTTTTAGTGTAGGCTCTAGTCTCACAAAACTCCATTGCATCGGTGTATTTATACATATACACAATACATACATACATACGTACATACATATACACACACATACAGACATACATACACACATACATACATACGTGCATACTAGAAACTACCTAAATACCTGCCTAAGTCTGTATACTGTATTCTGTATCACACACACACACAGACACACGCACACTTGTTTCTAAGAGTGAGTTTCAGGATTTAGTGTTACATGCTAGCGGCTAGAGGTTTTTGGACAGCCGAGCGTCGACTTGGGCAACGGGGATAAGACAAAAACAACAACATCCGAGGTTTCGCAGCTCTTGCCCCTCAAGGAGTTCCTCGAGAAGCAGAAGTGCAAAAAAACCTTCCGAGACGACAAAGAGCGAAAAAAATACATCACGCAAACCTTGAAGCTTCAGGCTCTCTGGTATGCAGCGAGGGTTGCCAAAACTAGGCGTGTTGGCTGTTAAGAGTATAGCTTTGGGAATCGACCATTTCTCATTATGGCAAGGTGCAAAAAGATCCGAAGAAGGGCATTTGGTGCGTTCCTGTCGAAGACAAGACACTTATGCTATCCGGCCACCGAGTGTCAGCTTCCCGGGTAAAGCAGCAGTCGATGGAAGACCGTGGGGCTGCAAAGGCAGCCTTCGAGAGTGCATCGTCGAAGATCCGAGCCAAGACAAACAGCAAGGACTGTTGTTTGTTTCTGTTTGTATTTGTGCGTGCATGTCGCGTCTGAAACTCTACTTGGGTTTGTTGCACCTTCTGCCATGTGCTACCTTGTATATATCTGCACTCCAAGCAGGACGATGTCCACGATGCGCATGTTGCTGATGCTGCAGCCGGTGATTCGGAGTCGCAAAGCGACTCGAGCAGTGATGACTCATCGGACTCCAGCTTTGCGCAGCTGAAGTCCAACAAAAAAAACAATGCAAAGGCCGCCAAGGGTAGTTCTTCAAGCGATTCTGGTGCGGAGTCTGAGCCTCCGACATCGACACCTGTGAAAGAAGTTGGCTGCGGCAGAGGGAAGGGCTCAGAGCCTGGCAGTGGCCAGAAAAAACGGCTGTCCAGTGGACCTGCAGAAAAGGCAGCGGCAGCTCCCGTGAACAAAAGAGCGAAGAAGAAAATCTCCGCTGCAGAAGCGGAGAAGACCTCGCCCAAGGTGAAAGAGGGCGCTGAAGCATATTTTGCATTGCTTCACGAACTGACACCTGATGTTCTGTGGCGCTCGTGTGTCCGGACCGCGGAAGTAGATCGACGACTGGGACGATTGCCTTCGGTACGTTCTAGCTTGGAGTAAGCCCGCGACGATGATCCCGACATCGCGCCGATACTGTGCAAGATCGAAAATGAGGCTTTGCTGGTGGACGGAGTCAGAAGCATATGCAGGTTGCTTCGAGCAAGCAGCTCGGAAGAGCTTGTGCAGGATTTGATCCAGACCGGGGGCATCGCACAATGCCTTCGAGAAATGAAAGTGGTGGAGCATCTCCTGGCCACCAGGACCTTTGAGGACATGTGCATCCTGCTCGGACGGAAGGTGGTTGATGCGCCTTGGCAGCTCGGTCGGTTGTCGTTGCAGCATACCGCAGCAGACCTAAAACATGCATCGAAGCAAGCTTGGGCATGAGTCATGAGTTATGAGTTATGAGTCATGAGTTATGTCTTGGGAATGCATGGGTTGAAACAGCGGCAATTGTCCAATATCATTGCATGGCCATCTGTTTGGACAGGCCAAGCCTGAAATCCTCTTCAGCGTTGCCTGCCTGAAGTATGTGGAGCCTGATGATGCCCAGCAGCCGTGCACTTGGAGTCTTGCACACATGTGGCAGAGGGCGGGCGAGATGGATGGCGAACTGAAGAAAGCGGCGCAGGTGCGCCTTCTTCAGGCTCAGGCATCCATGTTCAAGGATGTGACGGAGAAGTTGCGTGCGGCGGGATCGGTGCAGAAGATGCAGGTGATGATTCCGAAATCTTTGCGGAGGACGGACTTCGATTCTTCCACGAAGTGGCTTCTTGTCGGCATGTCAACTTGAACTTGCATGTCACTCCTGATGGGTGGATTGAAAGCTGCGCAGTCTAAGGCTGCCCACTGCAGAAGAGCTTGAAAATGACAGCAAGGAGTTGAGCAACTACGAGAACCTAAGATGCCCAGTAGTACCCTTATTCCCTTTTTGTAGTCCTAGGTTCCTTATAAAGTTACTCAATACCAAAAAGAGAGGCCTTTCATTTTTAGGTTACTGGGTATCCTAGGAACACATCTGGCTTTGCGCACAACATCATGATGGACTGCCAGCGGGTTTTGGCTTGTCTTGCAGTTGAAGATGAAGACGAGACGAGTCGGATCGGTGTGAGTTACTTCGTGATCGTTGCCCGCTGCTCTGGTTTCAGCAAGCGGCTGCTGCTTGCGATGAATTCGCAGGCTGAGTGGAGGACTGTTTGCACACAGGTGGATTTTACAGTGTGACAGTGTGGAGTGTTTCTGCTTGCTGTGCCCTTGCAGCTTTCCTGTGGCCAGTTAAGCAGCAGCGTGGGGAGAAGCCTGCTGGATGGCAGGAACGGAGCACAGCTCGTAGGGACACAGAGCATCGCCCTGAGTGCAGTTGCAACTCCAGCTATCAGTTTTCGGATTTCTTCCGAGTGCGATAGAATATATGCTTCTTCGAAGTTCTCAGTTTTTCATCAACTCCGACTCCAACATAAATAAGAGACTCTCCTGTACCAAGCGGATTCCAAGAGTCTGGCCCCAGATCTTCACAACTGTCCCCCGCCCCCGCTGGCTCAAACCCTGGAATAAATACTTCTGAGAATGCTCTGACGGTTGCAGACAGTTGATTTATGGTTCCAAGTCGGGACAAGCTGAAGCAGAGGTCATTTTTTGTGTCGCACTGACGGCCTTGGCGAGTTGAAGTGTCGAGAAGGCTTTGACAATTCCACAGGAGTTGTCTCATCGAGCACATGACGACCAGACGACCAGTCTCGCTCTCCTCCTCCTCCGATATGAATATACTCTCTTTTCGCATTTCCCATCTCCGTTTTGATCCACTCCAACATAAATAAAAAACTCCCCCGTACTCCCCGGATTCCAAAAGTATGGCTCAAGATTGGGGATGAATCATTCCCCCCGCCTACCCCCACCCCTCCCCCGGCTCAAGCCTTGAAGGCTCAGCTCAGAGTGTTTTTCCACCAGACGACCAGACGACCGCTCTCGCTCTCCTCCTCCGATATAATATACTCTCCTTTTCGCATTTCCCATCTCCGTTTTGATCCACTCCAACATAAATAAAAAAACTCCCCGGTGCTCCCCGGATTCCAAAAGTATGGCTCAAGATTGGGGATGAATCATTCCCCACGCCTACCCCCCCTCCCCCGGCTCAAGCCTTGAAGGCTCAGCTGCAGCTCAGAGTGTTTTTTCAATGCTTGGGTGGAAGCCATTTGAGGAAAGATTTGTGAGAACGGCTCTTTACAATCACCAGACGACCAGACGACCGCTCTCGCTCTCCTCCTCCGATATAATATACTCTCCTTTTCGCATTTCCCATCTCCGTTTTGATCCACTCCAACATAAATAAAAAACTCCCCCGTACTCCCCGGATTCCAAAAGTATGGCTCAAGATTGGGGATGAATCATTCCCCACGCCTACCCTCCCCTCCCCCGGCTCAAGCATTGAAGGCTCAGCTCAGCGTGTTTTTCAATGCTTGGGTGGAAGCCACTTGAAGAGAGATTTGGGACGGCTCTTTAGAATCACCAGACAGACAGACGGCCAGACGACCAGTCTCGCTCTCCTCCTCCGATATGAATATATTCTGCTCTCCTTTTCGCATTTCCCATCTCATCTCCGTTTTGATCAACTCCAACATAAATAAGAAAACGGTTGCAGAAAGCTGTGGCTGGTTCCACTTCCTGACAAGATTGTGCTGTCGGCTTGCTCAGACAAGCAGTGGACTAGTGAACTTGTGATTCTTGCTCAAGGCCCAAGGTGTGTTCATGGTGCATTGCCATTGCAACAAACCGTTTGCCTTTTCAATCATCGACGACCCTTTCTTGTCAGGAGCCTATGGCAGAAAGTGCTGTCGTTGGAAGTATCCGTGGCAGCCACGCAAGCCACTTTGAAGCAAGGTCGGGGCATCATTGACTTCATCGCAGAGTTCTTGCAGCAGCATGAGCAGCAGGCGCACGACCCCAGCAAGTACGATTGGACAACTTGGCGCGAGCACAGGAACTGGCAGTCTATCTTGCAAAGCTTGGAACATGGCCTCATTGACGGGGCAACCGAAGTGGCCAAGGACCTCACTGCAAAGTTGACACAGTTCGAAGCATGGGTGAACGAACATGTCCTTGAGTTTGAGAAGTACAACGAGATGGTCAAGGGTATGACGGCTTGGATGGAGGAGAAGGCCGGTTCTCATGAAAATCCATGCACAGAGATCTTATCGTCCAAGGAGCTCGTGGCTCCGAAGCTTCCGGACACTTCCGACTCCGCGATTTTGTCGCGGTGCCCTTTGGAACTTTACAAGAAGACTGTCTCATCTTTCTCAGTCTTAAGCTCAGGCTTTCGTATTCCCACGATTGGGATAGTCCAACGTAACGTAACATGTGACACGCACACACACACACACACACACGCACGATCCTGAATCAAGCAGCATCACGACGACCGCGCTGCGAATGTGGTGCTGGGCTGGCAACAGCTGGTGGAGAAAGCAGCTGAAGCTCGGCACGAGGACTGTGTGGCGTCCGCCCAGTTCTGGAATGCCGTGCTGAGCTTGGCGGATGCTGCCGCTGCAGAACAGGAAGGTGGTGGCGGATCTTTCATTGTGGCAGTGCAAAGGTACTCCCAAGCTTCTTTGGCCATTGCCCACGCGAAGCTGTTGAAGATGATCTTGGAAGCCGGCCCAGACGTGGGCGACAGCGTCATGAACGCTCTTGCCGGAGATTGGCTTCCAGTTGGGGCTACCGTGAGGGCTGTCAAGAAGAACGACCTTCCCAAGACCCTCCGAGATTGTGGCGATGATCTATGCAAGCTGGCAGCAACATGCCCATCAATGGAGACCGTTGTATCCTTCGTCAAAAGCGAGAAGGTCCAGTCGGATGCCCTGTGCAAGCACAGTGCTTTCATGAACACATGCATGGAGTTGCAAGCCAGCTTCATGGCCAGTGTGTCCCAGGGCTTGACGAGTGCCCGCGAATCCATTCTTGCTCATGTGAGCAGCTTCAGCGAGAAGTTCAAGAATGTTTCCGATGAGGCATCGCAGTTGCAGATGGACCACGAGATCCTTGTGAGTGAGACGGACGACGACACGAGGCATGACTTTGAGTGCTTGAAGGCCACGTTGTCATCGCTGAAGGAAGTAACGGCTGCCTTGACCACTGTGAAGGAGGCCACCAGCTGTAAGGACATGACAGATAAGATTGACAGCTTCCTCAGCGAAGCAACGACGGCTCGTGAACAAGCTTGCTCAGTTGGTTCAGTGGTCATGATCGCACGGTCTCTTGTGAAGCCTGAAGGTGTGGACTTGAGAAGCACCGTGACGTTTTGCGCCGATTTCTTCGAGGTGAAGAAGGTGCCGCTTCCGGAAAAGATCCAAGGCAAGGTGAATGACATCTTGAAGGAGCCGGCGAAGCCTGACAAGCGCAAGAGGGTTCAGGCCTGGAAGTGGCATCATGCAGCACCTTTTTCAGACATGGCAAGGCTGTTTGTTCAGGGCCCCAGGGCTTTTGAGTGGAGATGGATCTTGTCGTGTTTCGTGAAAACCTTGCGCTGGAAGTATCAGAAATCAGTGTCATCCCTGAGCCCAGCTCTTGGAGCAGGAGTCCCCGGCAATCGCTGCGAGTTCAGCAGCAGCAAGTTCTTCGCGGAAGGCAGGAAGCACTACAAGATCTGATTCAGTAGTTATGCCGCTATTCTATGCCGCCTATGCCTGTAATTACTCTTCGTAGCGGTTGTGCAACGTCCTTGGCCGACCCAGATCCCAAATAATTGCCTTTGGCCTTTCTGTCTTGGTGCCCTAATATAAAACCAGCCACCGATTGAAAGCTGAGATGGAATGTGAGCTGCAACAAACCGCTGTGTAGCATCAGCATTTGTGCTTCAGGGTCGAATGATGATAATGATGACAGTTCATCGATTGAAGTTTCAGGTCGCAGCGAACGTGTTTTGTTCGTATTTTGCTATGCGAATCCTGGCAACCGAGGACACCGAATTTCAGCCGACGTGTAGTTTTAGGAGATGACAGATGGCAACCATGCGTGCTGTATTTTCACGAGCGAATCCCGGCTACCCAGGACTCCGCGCTTTTTGTCGTCGTTCCGTTGTAGTGAATTCCACCTCGCAACGGTTGCATTCTGTATTTTCGCAAGCGATTTCCGGCAATCCAGGCCACCGCATTTCCCCGTCATAACATACAGCAAAATACAGATAGCAACAGTTGCGTTCTGTATTTTCCCAAGCGATTTCCGGTAACCCAGGCCACCGCATTTCATCGTGGTTTGGTCGTGGGAAATTACAGATCGCAACGGTTCTGTAACTGTATTTTCACAAGCAACTCCCAGCAACCCAGCCCACCACATTTCATCGTCGCTGTGTTTCAGGAGATTATAGATCGCAACGGTTGCGTTCTGTATTTTGCCAAGTGAATCCCGGCAACCCAGGCCACCCCATTTATCGTCGCTTCTTCGTAGATAATTTCAGGTCGCAACGGTTGCGTTGTGTCTTTCCTGGTCTTTCCTCAAACGACTACCGGAAACCGTGGCCACCGCATTTCATCCTCGCTTCGTCATAGGAAATTACAGATCGCAACGGTTGCGTTCTGTATTTTCCCAAGCGAATCCTGGCATCCCAGGCCACCCCATTTCATCGTCGCTTCGTCGTAGAAAATTACAGATCGCAACGGTTGCGTTCTGTCTTTTTCCAAGCGAATCCTGGCATCCCAGGCCACCCCATTTCATCGTCGCTTCGTCGTGGGAAATTACAGATCGCAACGGTTGCGATCTGTATTTTCCCAACGAACCCCGGAAACCCTGGCCACCGCATTTCATCGTGTCTTCGTTGTGGAAACTTACAGATCACAATCACAACGGTTGCGTTCTATATTTTTCCAAGCGAATCCTGGCATCCCAGGCCACCCCATTTCATCGTTGCTTCGTCGTAGAAAATTACAGATCGCAACGGTTGCGTTCTGTATTTTCCCAAACGAACCCCGGAAACCCTGGCCACCGCATTTCATCGTTTCTTCGTTGTGGAAACTTACAGATCGAATCACAACGGTTGCGTTCTGTATTTTCCCAAACGAACCCCGGAAACCCTGGCCACCGCATTTCATCGTTTCTTCGTTGTGGAAACTTACAGATCACAACGGTTGCGTTCTGTATTTTCGCAAGCGCATCCCGGCAGCACAGGCCAACTTATATCGTCGTCGCTTCGTCGTAGAAAATTACAGATTGCAACGGTTGCGTTCTGTAGTCTTCCAAGCGAATCCTGGCATCCCAGGCCATCCCATTTCATCGTCGCTTCGTCGTGAGAAATTACAGATCGCAACGGTTGCGTTCTGTATTTTCCCAAACGAACCCCGGAAACCCTTGCCGCCGCATTTCATAGTTTCTTCGTTGTGGAAACTTACAGATCACAACGGTTGCGTTGTTGTATTTTCGCAAGCGCATCCCGGCGGTACAGGCCAACTCATATCGTCGTCGCTTCGTCGTAGAAAATTCCAGATTGCAACTGTTGCGTTCTGCTGTATTTTTCCAAGCGAATCATGGCATCCCAGGCCACCCCATTTCATCGTCGCTTCGTCGTGGGAAATTACAGATCGCAACGGTTGCATTCTGTTTTTTCCCAAACGAACCCCGGAAACCCTGGCCACCGCATTTCATCGTTTCTTCGTTGTGGAAACTTACAGATCGAATCACAACGGTTGCGGTCTGTATTTTCGCAAGCGCATCCCGGCAGTACAGGCCAACTCATATCGTCGTCGCTTCGTCGTAGAAAACTACAGATCGCAACGGTTGCGTTCTGTATTTTTCCAAGCGAATCATGGCATCCCAGGCCACCCCATTTCATCGTCGCTTCGTCGTAAGAAATTACAGATCGCAGCGGTTGCGTTCTGTATTTTCCCAAACGAACCCCGGAAACCCTGGCCACCGCATTTCATCGTTTTTCGTCGTGGGAAACTTACAGAATCACAACGGTTGCATCCTGTATTTTCGCAAGCGCATCCCGGCAGTACAGGCCAACTTATATCCTCGTCGCTTCGTCGTAGAAAATTACAGATCGCAATTGCAACGGTTGCGTTCTGTATTTTTCCAAGCGAATCCTGGCATCCCAGGCCACCCCATTTCATCGTTGCTTCGTCGTAGAAAATTACAGATCGCAACGGTTGCATTCTGTATTTTTCCAAGCGAATCCTGGCATCCCAGGCCACCCCATTTCATCGTCGCTTCGTCGTGGGAAATCACAGATCGCAATGGTTGCATTCTGTATTTTCCCAAACGAACCCCGGAAACCCTGGCCACCGCATTTCATCGTGTCTTCGTTGTGGAAACTTACAGATCACATCACAGCGGTTGTGTTCTGTATTTCCCAAACGAACCCGGGAAACCCTGGCCACCGCATTTAATCGTTTCTTCGTTGTGGAAACTTACAGATCACAACGGTTGCGGTCTGTATTTTCGCAAGCGCAACCCGGCAGTACAGGCCAACTCATATCGTCGTCGCTTCGTCGTAGAAAATTACAGATCGCAACGGTTGCGTTCTGTATTTTTTCAAGCGAATCCTGGCATCCCAGGCCACCCCATTTCATCGTCGCTTCGTCGTGGGAAATTACAGATCGCAACGGTTGTGTTCTGTATTTTCCCAATCCCCGGAAACCCTGGTCACCGCATTTCATGGTTTCTTCGGTGGGGAAACTTACAGATCACAACGGTTGCGTTCTGTATTTTCGCAAGCGCATCCCGGCAGTACAGGCCAACTCATATCGTCGTCGCTTCGTCGTAGAAAATTACAGATCGCAACGGTTGCGTTCTGTATTTTTCCAAGCGAATCCTGGCATCCCAGGCCACGCCATTTCATCGTCGTCGTGGGAAATTACAGATCGCAACAGTTGCGTTCTTTATTTTCCCAAACGAACCCCGGAAACCCTGGCCACCGCATTTCATCGTTTCTTCGTTGTGGAAACTTACAGATCACAACGGTTGCCTTCTGTATTTTCGCAAGCGCATCCCGGCAGTACATGCCAACTCATATCGTCGTCGCTTCGTCGTAGAAAATTACAGATTGCAACGGTTGCGTTCTGTTTTTTTTCAAGCGAATCCTGGCATCCCAGGCCACCCCATTTCATCGTCGCTTCGTCGTGGGAAATTACAGATCGCAACGGTTGCGTTCTTTATTTTCCCAAACGAACCCTGGAAACCCTGGCCACCGCATTTCATAGTTTCTTCGTTGTGGAAACTTACAGATCACAACGGTTGCGTTCTGTATTTTCGCAAGTGATTCCGGCAGTACAGGCCAACTCATATCGTCGTCGCTTGGTCGTGGAAAATTACAGATCGCAACTGTTGCGTTCTGTATTTTTCCAAGCGAATCCTGGCATCCCAGGCCACCCCATCTCATCGTCGCTTCGTCGTGGGAAATTACAGATCGCAACGGTTGCGTTCTTTATTTTCCCAAACTAACCCCGGAAACCCTGGCCACCGCATTTCATCGTCACTTCGTGGTTCGTGGTGGGAAATTACAGATCGCAACGGTTGTGTTCTGTAATTTCGCAAGCGCATCCCGGCAGTACAGGCGAACTCATATCGTCGTCGCTTCGTCGTAGATAATTACAGATCGCAACAGTGGCGTTCTGTATTTTTCCAAGCGAATCCTGGCATCCCAGGCCACCCCATTTCATCGTCGCTTCGTCGTGGGAAATTACAGATCGCAACGGTTGCGTTCTGTATTTTCCCAAACGAACCCCGGAAACCCTGGCCACCGCATTTCATTGTTTCTTCGTTGTGGAAACTTACAGATCACAGCGGTTGCGTTCTGTATTTTCGCAATCGCATCCCGGCAGCACAGGCCAACTCATATCGTCGTCGCTTCGTCGTAGAAAGTTACAGATCGCAACGGTTGCGTTCTGTATTTTTCCAAGCGAATCCTGGCATCCCAGGCCACCCCATTTCATCGTCGCTCCGTCGTGGGAAAATACAGATCGCAACGGTTGCGTTCTGTATTTTCCCAAACGAACCCCGGAAACCCTGGCCACCGCATTTCATCGTTTCTTCCTTGTGGAAACTTACAGATCACAACGGTTGCGTTCTGTATTTTCGCAAGCGCATCCCGGCAGTACAGGCCAACTCATATCGTCGTCGCTTCGTCGTAGAAAATTACAGATCGCAACGGTTGCGTTCTGTATTTTTCCAAGCAAATCCTGGCATCCCAGGCCACCCCATTTCATCGTCGCTTCGTCGTATAGAAAATTACAGATCGCAACGGTTGCGTTCAGTATATTCCCAAACGAACCCCGGAAACCCTGGCCACCCCATTTCATCGTCGCTTCGTCGTGGGAAATTACAAGTCGCAACGGTTGCACTCTGTATTTTCCCAAACGAACCCGGGAAACCCTGGCCACCGCATTTCATCGTTTTTCGTCGTGGGAAACTTACAGAATCACAACGGCTGCGTTCTGTATTTTCCCAATCGAACCCCGGAAACCCTGGCCACCGCATTTTATCGTTTCTTCGTTGTGGAAACTTACAGATCACAACTCACAACGGTTGCGTTCTGTATTTTCGCAAGCGCATCCCGGCAGTACAGGCCAACTCATATCGTCGTCGCGTCGTTATAGAAAATAACAGATTTTAAAGATCGCAACGGTTGCGTTCGGTATTTTTCCAAGCGAATCCTGGCATCCCAGGCCACCCCATTTCATCGTCGCTTCGTCGTGGGAAATTACAGATCGCAACGGTTGCGTTCTGTATATTCCCAAACGAACCCCGGAAACCCTGGCCACCGCATTTCATCGATATTCGTCGTGGAAACTTATACAGATCACAATCACAACGGTTGCGTTCTGTATTTTCGCAAGCGCATCCCGGCAGTACATGCCAACTCATATCGTCGTCGCTTCGTCGTAGAAAATTACAGATCGCAACGGTTGCGTTCTGTATTTTTCCAAGCGAATCCTGGCATCCCGCCAGGCCACCCCATTTCATCGTCGCTTCGTCGTGGGAAATTACAGATCGCAACGGTTGCGTTCTGTATATTCCCAAGTGAACCCGGAAACCCTGGCCACCGCATTTCATCGATATTCGTCGTGGAAACATATACAGACAGATCACAATCACAACGGTTGCGTTCTGTATTTTCCCAAACGAACCGCGGAAACCCTGGCCACTGCATTTCATCGTTTCTTCGTTGTGGAAACTTGCAGATCACAACGGTTGCGTTCTGTATTTTCGCAAGCGCATCCCGGCAGTACAGGCCATCTCATATCGTCGTCGCTTCGTCGTAGAAAATTACAGATCGCAACGGTTGCGTTCTGTATTTTCCAAGCGAATCCTGGCATCCCAGGCCATTTCATCGTCGCTTCGGTCGCTTCGTCGTAGGAAATTACAGATCGCAACGGTTGCCGTCTGTATTTTGCCCAGCAAACTCGCAATTGAGGCCGTCGCATTTCATTGTTTTTCGGCAAGCGAGGTTAGCAACCCAGTAGATGGTAGCAAGTGTACAGTGTACAGTACAGTGCACAGTTTCATCTAGGTTGTAATGTTTGCGCTGTTTGTTGTACTGTGTAGCCCGTGGCCCGTGGTTTTAAGTGTTTACGAAATTTTGTACTGGAGACAGACCTCTCAAGGCCGATCGCGAAATCACATCACAATTCGATTTGAAACTTGCGGCGTAGGACTGAAGTTCCAAATCTTGGCCAGGACAAGCCGGACAAGCTTGCGACTGACGCGGAGGCGCGGAATCGGAAGAAGGGCCGTTACATGTAGAAGCTCCGTTTCCTGAGACACACGGAAAGGACAAGAAGAAGCACAAGGACAAAAAAGACAAGAAGGACAAGAAAGACAAAGGCGACAAGGACAAAAAGGACAAGAAAGATAAGAAAGACAAGACTGCCGCCAAGAAAGAGAAGCAGAAGAAAGGATGAGAAGGGCATGCGGCAGAGGACCTGGCGCACATGTATAGAAATGGAAGATATAGAAGTAACGTAACCGTAAGTAATAAGTAGACAGTATGATATAAGGTTGAAACATGCGTGAAAGATGGTGAATGACCAACGGTTGTTGATGAGTGCTCAGCTTCCCTTAGTTGAGAACACAGAAGTGATGCGTGCATGCACAGGACAGCTGGCTGGAGGATCCAAGTTTTGGACGATTGGGCGCACTCGCAAAAAAAGTTCGCTCGCAATGTGGATCGTAGCATCATTTGCCAGTGCCGCTTCCCCACCTTTGGCCTTCTGATAAGAATCGTAGTCTACGATTCGTAGACGTGAAACGGAAGCCTGTGCTTTCAGGACCGCGGACTTATGTCGGACCGAGGTACCATGATTGCTCGACGAATCGTTCATGTAGGGTTTCCCGTTTCTAGGATAATATGATAGTGGTGCACCAAGCCAAACCATTTACATGTGCCGTCAGTTGGCATTTGCTTTGCACGGGCAAGCTGTGCATGGTTTGGGGGCCAAACCAAGCTATCTAGAAGCTTCTTCGGATCAGGTATGCATTGTTTGGGTGTGAGCTTTGGCATCAGTTGTCACATGGGCTCTGGGCCAAGCCAAACCATTTACATGAGCTCTGGCTGCAGGCCCACACTATTTACATGGGTTTGGGCACCAGTTGTTACATAGCTCTGTGTACTCAACAGTTAATGAAGCTAGTGGCTGTTAAAATTTCTGAAACCTAAACCCTAAACCCTGAATCCTAAACCCTAAACCCTGAATCCTAAAAAAGTAAGCCGAGGTCTTTGGATTGAGGGAAGCTCAGGGTTAATAGTTTTGGGTTCAGGTTTAAGGCCGCAGGGACATTATGCAACAGGCTTCAGGGCTTAGGGTCTTTGGTAGGGTTTAGGGTTTAGGGTTTTCGCTGCGAGTGCGCTGTCGACCCCTGCATGAAGTGGTTGGGGTCGGCGCATGAGCTGCAATGCCCGCCCTCCCACCCAAATTTCAAACCTTGAACGGGTTTAGGGTTGTCTACCCCCCCAACCCCCCCTATCAAGGGGGGCTTATATGGTTTGGAAGCAACAGGCTTTGAAAGCGCGCAAAGTGACAATCTCCAGGCCCCCAAGTGACAATCTCCAGGCCCCAAAGTGACAATCTCCAGGCCCCAAAGTGACCCAAAGGGCCTTCTGGGTGGCTTCGGTAGGCTTGTGGCCTCTGGGGACTCTGCAGGGTTTACGGGGGAGGACCTTCTGCAGGCTTTGTGGGGGCCTGCGCGGCTTTCTGGAAACCTTCTGGACACCTTTTTGCCCACCTTCAAAACTGCTTAAAACCTATCGAAACAGCTACAAAAACCATTCAAAACTTTTAAAAACACTCGAAGCCTTTAAGAACCTCGCAAAACCTGCAAAAACTTGCAACCAGACCAGGCCAACTTTTCCACAACGCCAAAGTGACAATCTCCAGGCGCAAAGTGACAATCTCCAGGCCCCCAAGTGACAATCTCCAGGCCCCAAAGTGACAATCTCCAGGCCCCAAAGTGACAATCTCCAGGCCCCAAAGTGACCCAAAAACCCTTCTGGGTGGCTTCGGTGGGCTTGTGGCCTCTGGGGCCTCTGCAGTGTTTACGGGGGAGGACCTTCTGCAGGCTTTGTGGGGGCCTGCGCTAGGCTCTGGGTCCTTAATTTTAATTAGGTCCGGTTGATTTTATGCTCCGAGCCTTTAAGTTTAGGCTCCGGGTCCTTAATTTTAGGTCCGGTCCTTATTTTAAGCTCCGGTGCCTCAATTTTAGCCTGGCCCTTAATTTCGGGCCCTTAATTTTAGGCTCCGGGTCCTTGATTTTAGGTCTGGCCTTAATTTTAAGTTCCGGGTTCTTAATTTTCGGCACCGGGTCCTTAATTTTAGGTCCTGGCCCTTAATGTTAAGCTCCGGGGCCCTTAATTTTAGGTCGGCTCCGGAATTTTAGGTCCGGTCCTTAATTTTAAGCTCCGAGTCCTTACTTTTCGATTCCGGGTCCTTAATTTTAGGTCATTTTAGGTCCTGGCCCTTAATGTTAAGCTCCGGGCCCTTAATTTTATGCTCCGGGTCCTTAATTTTAGGTCCGGTCCTTAATTTTAAGCTTCGGGTCCTTAATTTTCGGCTCCGGAATTTTAGGTCCGGTCCTTAATTTTAAGCTCCGAGTCCTTACTTTTCGATTCCGGGTCCTTAATTTTAGGTCATTTTAGGTCCTGGCCCTTAATGTTAAGCTCCGGGCCCTTAATTTTATGCTCCGGGTCCTTAATTTTAGGTCCGGTCCTTAATTTTAAGCTTCGGGTCCTTAATTTTCGGCTCCGGGTCTTTAATTTTAGGTCCGGTCCTTAATTTTAAGCTCCGAGTCCTTACTTTTCCATTCCGGGTCCTTAATTTTAGGTCATTTTAGGCTCCGGGGCCCTTAATTTTAAGCTCCGGCCCTTAATTTTAAGCTCCGGATCCTTAATTTTCGGCTCCGGGTCCTTAATTTTAGGTCCGGTCCTTAATTTTAAGCTCCGGGTCCTTAATTTTCGGCTCCGGGTCCTCAATTTCAGGTTTTAATTCTTATTTTAAGCTCCTGGCAATTAATTTTGGGCTCCGGGTCCTTAGTTTTCGGCTCCGGTCCTTAATTTTGAGCTCCGGGTCCTTAATTTTCGGTTCCGGTCCTTAAGAATAAGCTCCGGGTCCTTAATTTTCGGTTCCGAGTCTTTAATTTAAGGCTCTTTAAAGGCAGCAAGGAGGATTCCAGGGCCGCCCGGCCATTTGCACTAAGGTTTACCGGGGCCCAGAAAGGAGGATTCCAAGGCCTCCCGGCCGGTTTGCACCAAGGTTTAGGGTTATTATTATATAGGCTGACAGTAGCGGCCTATTCACTGGAGCCGCGTGGACCTGAGGTCCAGGACCTACGGCTTGCCTTTCGGCCGTGGCCTACGGTCCGGCAGGCGCCTTCCGGTCCGCCTGCTGCGGCCGACCCCATTCGCTGCGGTGGGGGGTCGGCCTTCAGTTTAGGGGTTAGGGGTTTAGGGTTTAGGGTTTAGGGCTTCGTGTCTTTGGTTTCAGGTTTTGTTGGTCTAGCTGGGCGTCGGGTGCAGGGTTTAGGGGCTGGAGCCCAGGCCACAAACTTCACCGCGAGTTCCATGCAATACCCTGAGAAGGGATCCTAACCTGCAGGAGAGGGGCAGAAGGGAGCAGCTGAACAGTAACATTCCCCTAAACCCCCAAACCCCTAAACCCTATAAACCCTAAGCCCCTAAACCCCTAAACCCCTAAACCCCTAAACCTTCAACCCCTAACCCCTAAACCCCAAACCCTATGAACCCTAAGCCCTGGACTTTATGAACCCTAAACCCTAAAGCCTAAACCCCTAAACGCCTATAAGCCCTAAGCCCTCGAAGCCCGAGTCCCTCCTGTTAAGAGAAGCCAGATGCCCAGGTCCTGGCCGCGGCCTACTCTCCTGCGGCGACCCTCGTCAAGGCCGCGGAAAGCCCTAAACCCTGAATAACCTTCCTTTTCAGGGTTCCTGATTATGATTTCCTTACATAAGTCCTTAAAAAGGTAGGTTGTTCCGGGTTAAGGAAAACCCTGAACCCTAAGCCCTCAAGCACAAGCAATGCGAAGTGTGAGCTTTCCTTGAGTTTAGGCTTGAGTCTTCAGCTGAACTCCCAACCGCAAGCCTTAGAGCCAGCACCCGGGCTCCTAAACCCTAAGCCCAAAACTTCACACTCAAAACCCTGGATTTTAAGTCCAAAAAGCCTTGTCCAAACCTGAAGCCCCCCAAAAGCACTCTGTCCTTAATGGACAGACTGCTTCAAATGGCGTCGCGAGAAATGAGTCTCGCACTTGCGCCTGGCACTCCGGGCGGTCGTCTCGGTTGCCGGCGCCTGGCACACCGGGCGCTCGCCCTGCAGCCGCGAGGCGGCCGTCGGGTCGCTTGAGCAAAAGGGTCAGGCAGGGCGGCACTCCGCACAGGGGAGCGACGGTGGCCCGTTGTGGACGCTGCCACAACTGTTTGATACGTGCTGGTAACCCACGCTCCCGAGTGCCATGTCTCGAAGGTAGGCGGCAGGTGCCTGCCCGGCTTTGACCCAGAGAGCCCACCTCCGGAGGTCGAGGCCAAGGAGCAAAAGAGGCCTCCCGAGCAAGCTCCCAGGTCTGGTGTCCTTGAGGAGCTCGAGACCAAGGATTTTTTGAGCCCAAGAAAAGGCAGAAAAAATTGACAAAGCAGGAAGCTTGTAAGACACCCTCAACCCCTAACCCCCTCAAATCCTTGGCAAGCCTTGATTGAGTCTTTGGTGAGCCTGAAATAGTTTCGATGTATGATGGAACGCAGCGGAATGGTATGACTCATTGTAACTTTCGGCCCAGCACATCTCTGAGGCCGGCCTGAATGCCACACGCGCGAAGCCTTGGTACCCCGAACCCAAAATCTTAAACCCCAGCTGTAACACACAAAAGCCTACTTATTTAAGGCTGTATGCAAAGAGACCGTAACCAGGAGCCCTAACCCTAAACCCTAAACCTTCAACCCAAAGCCCTAAACCCTACACCCTACACCCTCAACCCTAATCTTCCAAAACCTAACTAAATCCTACACCCACAACAAATGCAGGTTCGTTAGGCCCACAGGTCGACGCCAAGTGCCCCTCCTCTGGTCTCTGAAAAAGCTTTCGGGTTAGAGCCTAGGGGTTTGGTTTAGGGTTTCTAGGGCTTTGGGTTTTGGTTTAGAGTTTAGAGGGCTTAGGGTTTTGGATTGGAGTTTAGGGTTTAGGGTTTTTGTTCAGGCTTTAGAAGTAACAAACCCTAAACGTCAAACCCTAAATCCTAAACCTTCGGAGGCCTCACAAGGTGGGATGAAGGTAGGTGGGATTAAGGATCCCTTATATAAAGACTCTTATTTGGGAAGATCCCACCTACCTTCATCCTACCTTTTGAGGCCCCCGAAACCTTAAACCCACAGTGTCAACCTCCTACAGGGAACTCCAGAAAGTTGGAATATGGACTAATGGTAGGATCCCCTATAATTTACCTTAAACGGGTTACGATAATGATATTCCAACTTTCTGGCTTCTACTGTAGTGTGTGCCCCGGTGGGGTGAGCCGACTCTGCGAGGAGAAAGCCCGTCACACTTTACAAAAAAGAAGCCTTCGGGGTAACAACCCCTAAACCCTAAACCTCAAACCCTAAACCCTAAACCCCTAAACCCCAAACCCTAAACCTTAAACCCTAAACCCTAAACGTTAAATTAAACCCTAAACCCTAAACCTTAAACCCAATAAAAGGTTTCACCGACTCTTCTGTCTGGTGAGTTGCTCGCTCCGGAGGAGATCGAAGCCACCCGAGAGCACTACGGTTTTTCTTTAAATGAAACCCTAAACCCTAAACCCCAAATCCTTGTTTTGAAATGGGTTCTGTTTATGATGCTGTATTTCTAAGTTTCAGATCATGTGGGACTTCAAGATTTTAGGGAGTTTGGGGCTTAAGGTTTGTGGGCTTGGTGTTTGGGGATTTGGGGTTGAGGGTTTTGGGGTTTAGGGTTTAGGGTTTAGGGTTTAGGGAATTAGCTATATTTGGGTATGTTCGGGTTGGGCTTCAGGTCTGGTTTGAGGTCGAGTTTGTTCAAACCCTAAAATCTAAACAATAGGCCCTACACTCCAAAACCTGAAATCCGACACAGTTCAAACAACAAAATCTTCATCCCCAAATAAACTCCAAACCTTGAGCCCTGGCTGCAATCACGGCAGTTGTGCGATTAGACCCCTCGGCCTACTGTGTGGGTTGCGGGGGATTCACGCCACGGTGATCGCTGGGCTTCGACGTAGCCGGGTAGAAGTTCTGCAGGGTTGTAGGGTTCAGTGTGAGAGGGCTTAGGGTTATACTGGTCATGACCGCTTTCTGTAAACTGACCTCTTCTTCCCGAAGGTTCTGAACCTCATAGAATCCTAAGCCGCGAACTTGCCGAGGTTCTGAAGCTCGAGGCACGTCAGCAGGCGCGGAAAGAGGAGCTCAAGCGGAAGGCAGGCGCAGATTTCAAAAAGTGGTTAAGGCCAAAATCGGATGTAGAGGCAGGTTTAGGGTTGCAGCTTCACTGGTTGAGGGGTTTAGGGTTAGATTGTTGTCTGAACCTCCTTGACTGCATAGCTCCGTACCGCTGTCATGGGTTTAGGGTTTGCGGGTGTGACGTCGAGGAAACCTCAAGCTTCAAGGTGGAACCCTCCTTTAACAATACCGTAGCTTGAAAATTCTGGCCCGGACATACACTCGACGACATCTCCCACAGAGCCCGCCGTACAAGAGACCTCGCTGCCTTTGGCTCCCATGCGCAAGCTCTTGTTTCCGCGAAAGTGGCCTTAGCCGCCCCACCTATTTTTGCGCGTTGTGTTCTTGACTGACTTTGGCGCCTTTCTTCCAAAAGAAGTACAAGTGCTTGGGGACGGCACATGCTGGCGCTAGGCTTTCCAGTGGTATCTGAGCTCTGGACGATTCATGCCCATGCCCGATAGTCTCAACCCTGCAACCAAGCTCAAAAAATCTTCCTGCCCTAGGCCAAGTCTTTCATCCTAAACCCGCAATTCTGCCGGCCGAACACCCACCCCTCCCCTCTGCCCTACTTTCAACCCTACAACGACCCCAAACCCCTAAACCTCTAAACCCCTAAACCTCTAAACCCCTAAACCTCCCCTAATACTCTAAACCCCTAAACCCCTAAAAGTTGTTTTGAGTTGGCTCGGCAGGCCCAGAAGAAGCAGAAGAAAGAGAAGAAGGAGAAGAAGGCGAAAAAGAAGAGCAGCTTCCGGCCCAAGATAGACGGGGTTTCGGATTCGTGGAAGTATTGTTGGGGCCTAAACTGTTTACAACACTATTTTGGGGCTTCCTTGTTATGTTTATAGTATAATTAATGGCCCCAAAACCCTATTATAATTATGAAGGACCCTATGTAAGGTTTGCGGGTTTTGCGACTTAGGGTTTAGGGTTTAGGGCTCATCTTCTGGTATGAACAGGAGAGGCAGCTGTCGTCAGTACTGTAGCATGATTAACCCTACTCAAGGTCTTAAGCCCCGAGCCCTAAACTGTCTAATCCTAGACTCGCCATCTCATGGAGGAAAGAAACCCTGAGCCCAAGACCGCGAAAAAGCCTTAAATCCTAAACCCCAAACCCCTATAGACCCCGTCAAGGAACCCTAAAGCCCTCTAAAGGAACCCCAAAGTGAGCCCTACGCGTTAAACTTTCTGTTGGGACGATTTCCGGAGCCTTCAGCTGCTGTTCAGAAATTCGGAAGCCGGGGCCTTTGGCAGACTTGGGGTTGTGGTTTTGAAGCCTCAACCCTAAACCCTCAGCCCTAACTGCTCAGCACTAAACCCTCAACCCTGAACCCTCAAGCCTAAACCCTCAACCCTCAACCCTAAACCCCTAAACCCCTAAACCCCTAAACCCTTTTCGGGTTCTAAAGACCCGAACTGCAGGATCCCCCAAGGAATGAACCATAAGCGCCCTCTTCAACCCTCGGTTGAAACTGGCCCGGTGGTGAGGACGACCCTGGACCCTATCTAGGATGCCCAGTAGTACCCTTATTCCCTTTTTGTAGTCCTAGGTTCCTTATAAAGTTACCCAATACCAAAAAGAGAGCCCCTTTTTATTCTTAGGTTACTGGTATCCTAGCTATGGGAGTTTCCGAAAATTAGGGGTACCTTATTCTGGGCCCTCACAATAAGGATCCTGTTATTTAGGGTACTATGTTAGGGTCCCCTATTTTCGCAAACTCCCCTATCTAAAGGCGAACCAGCCTGAGTAATCCCCGAACCTGATGAACCCTGGGCGCCAAAGCCCCAAGGCTGCTAAGGATATTAGAGTTTAGGGTTTAGGGGTTTAGGGTTTAGGGTTTAGGATACCCTATGAAGACATACGACAGCACGAAACCCTTCAACAACCCAGGTGAAGCCTCTGAAGCCGACGTCAAAGGCATTCCAAAAGCCCTATCCAGAGACTCCAATATCCTTTAATTTAGGAATATTCCTTAAATTATAGTAAGGATCCCTTATATGATTTAAGGTATATTCTTTAATTAAGGGGTAATGGAGTCTCTGGGTATCAACCCTCCTTGAAGGAAGGCCCTGCGCAAGTCTGTAGCCTAAACCTCCATAAAACTTATATACCCCCGATAACAAATCCTTGCGCAGCATCCTTGCGACAATTCGACAACCCTTTATAAAGAAACATGCCGACAGACATACCTGAAGCCCCCCAAACCCTGTACTCACTCCCTAAATCCTAGGCCTGCAAATCTCAAGTCTCAACACCCTACACCTCAAAGCCTAAACCCCAAACCGTTTACCCTGAACCCCAAAACCCCCGAAACCCGAAACCCTTAATCCTAAACCATAAACCTCAAAGCCTAAACCCAAAGCCCTATAGCCCTAAAGCCCGAAACCCGAAACCCTGAACCCCTAAACCCTAAACCGCAAGCCCTAAACCCCAAACCCTAAACCCCAAACCCTTAAACTCTTAACCCTAAACCCTAAGCCCTAAACCCTTAAAATCCGAAACCTTATTCCCAAACCCTAAAACCCCAAACCCCTAAACCCTAAAACCCCAAGCCCCAAACCCCAAACCTTAAACCCTAAACCCCCAAAACCCTAAATCGCAAGCCCTAAAACCCCAAACCCTAAACTCTTAACCCTAAACCTTAAACCCTAAACCCCTAAAACCACAAACCCTAAAACTCAAACCCGAGGCTCGGGCTCCGAGAGTTCCGACTCCTCGGAGTCCTCGAGTTCCTCGAGCTCCAAGAAGAAGCGATGCTGGGCTTTCTTTCATTGGGTTTAGGGTTTAGGGTTTAGGGTTTAGTTTTGGGCTTAGGGTTTTGGAGCCCGGGTGCTGGGCTTGAGGGTCATTATTCGCTGCGGGATCAGGGAGGATCCAGGTGCTCAATATAGGTGCCTACCCAGAGACTCCAATATCCCTTAATTAAGGAATATACCCTAAATCATATAAGGGATCCTACTATAATTTAAGGTATATTCCTTAATTAAGGGATATTGGAGTCTCTGGGAAGGGGTTTTAGCCTATGGGGGTCAGGGTGCCCATAATAGGGTTCATATGAAGGGATCCCTACCCCAAGAATCCTAAAGTCTTACAGTAAACCCGGGCTTTCTTTCATTGGGTGGTTGTCAATATTAGGGTTCCTTTTTCCGTTCTTATCTTTTTATAATACGGCACCTATGATTGAGGGTACCCAAAAAAGGACCCTAATTTCGACAACCACCCAATTCTCTTTAAGAAAGAAATAGGTGCTCGGTTTGGGGTGCAGGATTTACAGTCGGGCTCTTGGCATGCACCAAGCGCTGCGTTGATTCGTTAGTGCTGAGGAAAGCAGAAGGAGAAGAAAGCCAAGAAAGCCAAGAAGAAGGACAAGAAATCGAAGAAGGTGCGGGACCGTGGGTCAGTGCTTTCCAGTTGAGCCACGCCAAAGCAAGGAATATGGTTTGGGGTTGCGCAAGCGCGTGTAGGCAGGCAGGCAGTCAGAGAAGTCATCGCCGTTGGCGTCGACGACAGCGAAGACTAGCACTCGTATTGTCAAATACTGGAAGGATAAAGGTTGTATCGCATCACTGTAGACATAGTGCCGCAGCGAGGTTCCATGCTTCCTGGTCGATGCAGTGTGCCTGCACTCCTGTCAACACATCAAACGCAACGCAGCCCCAAAGCTTACCCTCAACAAGAAGCCCCGAACCCTGCACGCTGGAAGTCAATCGCTCATGCATCTCATCAGTCTCATAGATCCACAACGGGAGGTTCTAAAAAGACGCGTCCCCGTACGGTTTAGGGTTCAGAGTTTCGGGTTTTAGTGCCCTCATTTTTGTTAATGCAGGAATGCTGATTAAGAAACCCAGGCCCTATAACCCCCGAATAGCAGGATTCATATGGGTGGTTGTCAATATTAGGGTCTATTTTTGCTTCTTATCTTAATACGGCACCTAATATTCAGGGTACCCAAAAAAGGAACATAATTTTGACAGCCACCCATATAAGGAACCCTAGTAACCCAAGGTTTCTTACTCAGGTTCCTACATTAGTTCGTAGGATCCTCATCCTCTGGAAGCCTTCTCTCCAAGTCCAGAAGGACTTAGGGGTACTTATTTCTACTTTTTGGTTATTATAATCCGTAAGGAACAGCTAAAATTAGATTTTTTGCTAGGGTTCTAAGTTCAGTATAGAGGAGAAGAAGGGGCCCCGTACTTCCGTAAGCCTAAGCACTGAAGCATGAATCCCTAAGCTCTAAGCCCTAAAAGCCCCGCACCCTAAACCCTAAAGCCTAAGTTGGGCCCCAAGCCCCACAGCCTGAACATGAACCCTAAACCCTAAACCCTAAACAATGAAACCTAAGCCCTGAACCCCAGGCCCCAAACTTACCTTTGGTTGGCAGGGAATGGAAGGATGGTAGTAATAGTAGCTATGATTGTACCCCATTCCTCCATTCCCTACTAGCCAAAGGCAAGCAAACCCTAGGCCCTAAACCCTAAACCCTGAACCCTGAACCCCAAACCCTAGGCCCAAAACCCAAGAATCATGGAGGACAAGAAGTCAAAGTGATACCGACCTTTGCTCCGTCGGCTCGATGTCTGCTAAGCCACCGAGAGACCCGGAGGCTTGACTCACAGGCTTTAGGGTTTAGGGTTTAGGGGTTTAGGGATTTGGGTAGTTGTCAAGAATAACATCCCTTTTTGGGTACAGAAAGGGACCACAAAGTTGACAACCACCCATTTAGGGGTTTAGGGTTTAGGGTTTCGGAACGGCCCCTAAGACTTCTAAGAGAGTCTGTATCCCTAAGGGTCAAGGTAATCCTAATCTATGGTCTTTGGTGCCTAAAATCAAGACGGCCCCAAAGTCCCACAATGGGGATTACTTGGATCCCAGTTCTGCAATACCGGTTTTGGGTTCTTATGGTTTCGTATCACGACGCAAGTTTCAAATTGTCTCTAGAGTTTTTGGCGTTTCAGGCAGTATTTGGACCAGAATGAAGACCATGAGCTGCTAAGAGGGAGGAGCCTTGATTGTGAAGACCTAGGAAGTAGGGGATTGGGCCTAGAGTGTTTAGGCCGTAGGGTTTAGGGCATTTGATTTGGGGTGGATGGGTTTGTTGCAAATTTCTGCGCACTCTAGTCTTGAAGCGTTTCGGCTTTGCATCTGCACAATCCTACCATCTTCTCCAGGTCTGAACTCAGCAAGCATGTAAAACCCTGGATCCTAACCCAGAGACTCCAATATCCCTTAATTAAGGAATATACCTTAAACTATAGTAGGGCCCCTTACATGATTTAAGGCATATTCCTTAATTAAGGGAGAGTCTCCGGGAAGCCTTAAACCCGTAAGCCCGCACAAACGAAGAAGCCTCCAAAGGAAGCAGCCTCGAGCCCGAAAGCCGACAGTCCTAAAGTAGAAGTCCCAGAATCAAAGCTCAACACCCAAACCTCAAGCCAATTCACAACTCTACAACTTGAAAACACTTATTCTCTTCAACACCCTAAACCCCAAAACAGCCCTAAGCCCTTTAGTCGTTCCTTAAACCCAAACCTCAAGCCAATTCACAACTCTAGTAGAGTTTAACAACACCTAGCCGCCTTTCACGCCGTAAACGTTCAAGGCCCCGTTTTCCCAAAGGACGGCTGCTGCCCTGAAGATCGCCCGCCAGCGCGGGCCACCGCGGAGTTCCCGCAGGAGCCGACCGGAGCCAGGCGTAGGATGGCCAGGAGAAGCACCAAAAACAAGCCCGGTTTCTGGGGTTTAGGGTTTAGGGTTTAGGGTTTAGGGGTTAGGGTTTAAGGGTTTAGGGTTGAGGGCGGTTTCAGGATCTGGTTTAGGGGTTTAGGGTTTCGGGTTTAAGGGTTTGGCCTCGGGTCTTGGGCTTAGAGGTTAGGGTCTTGGGAGTGTAGGAACCTGATGAAGAAACCCTGAGTCTCTATGAGGGTTCTGTATATGGAGCCAACTTTTTTTGAAGCAATGGACAGGGCTTCTTAATCAGATTGCTGCATTGAGGTTTAGGGATGTTTAGTGGTGTAGCATAAATTGGCCGGGGTCACTCAGAGAAAACCGAAAGATCACATCAAATAAAGCCGTTGGTTCGCACAGAGGTTTTCGGCACGAACCCTGAAATTTCAGGCGTCTCTTGATCAGATTTTCGTGCGCTACATAATAGGAGATCAGTAAACCCTAGACCCTAAACCCTAACAGCTGGACCCCTTGCCCGAAACTCATCGACTTCACTAAGGCCTTCTTGGCGCCTTCGCGGGGGTTTGCGGTTTGAGGCCCAGGGTGAGACTTAAGCCTCAGCCCTTTTGACGCCTTATGCTCTTCTTGCCTAGACCTCCGAGCTGCAAGACAGTACAAGTTCAGGGTTTAGGGTTTTACCGTATCCGCAATCCACCTGGCCTGCCATTTTAGGGACGTATATCAAAGTATTTCAATATGGAACCCTGGTCTAGGTAGGGTGGGTAGTTAAGAACAGATCAGATAAATCCAGCGCAGAATTATGCCGTCCCGTAGCATTGCGCTGCCATAATACAGGGCATGTGTGCTAGCAGTGAAAAGTCAAGACATGGCACAGGTAATTCTACGAGGTACATGACAGCCTCTGTGCCGCTGTGCAGCTTGCGGATTCAAGAAGCCATCCACAAGCGATCGCTTCAAGTGGTGAAGAGCGCCCTAAAGTCTGACGTACAAAAACCCAGAGTCAAGAGTGATATGTTCTAATTTGCATGCCAACCCAGGTTCGCCCATCAAATGCTAGTAGCCAGCGTCATGAATATAGCTGTACCGTAGCATACCCTAGCCGGTTCAAAGTACAAGAACCAGTACGCTTCTTGACTCTCCAAGCTACCAGCCCGAAACACTTTGGTAGCACAAGCCGCTAAGTACGCACATAGATTCTATTGAACGTGATCCTATACAGGTTAAAAATGCACATCATACATCCCAGCAGATAGGGTTGACAAAGCTTTGTTTGTCTTCGTGGACGCCAGAGTGTCAAGTCCAGCAGCATGAAGCGGCCGGCAGCACGGCCACGGGCGCCACCTCGTCCCGCTGGGAAGAAGGCCCCAATCTAGTCGGGCTCTTGCCAGAGGAAGGTTGCTTTCTGAGTTTCTGTGAATTCTAGGGGCGCAACAAAGGAGCTCCTTCTGTTTTGGCTTTTTGGGCTCTTCGTAAGGTCATGGCAGTCCAGAAGGGCTCCAGCCACCCAAACTTCATGGGTCAAAGCAACCCAAGCATGAAAAGCATCGTCGGATTCAGGGTTTAGGGTTGAGGGCTTGCGGTTTTTAGGCCGTTGAGGCAGCGCAAGTGTCGGAGCTGTGGGTTTCGGAGGCCCAAACCTTGGAGAAAGAGCTCAGGGTTTAAAGGCACGCAGGGCACACCTCTTATGCTTTAGGTCTGACAAGCTGCAGATTCGAAGCTTTGAACTCTAAACCCTCAGCCACTTCCTCGTTATGCAAAAACCCCAAAACTCGAACTCTTGGACATGTTGGGTTCCTATAACACGCAAGCATTCTGAGAGTTTGTGGGGGTTCATGGGTTCTAGCTCCACTTAAAGCTTGCTTCTGCTGGTGGTTCGGGGGATTGTTGGTTCTGACTGGTCTCTCCACGGGGAGGAAGACAATAGATGCATGCCCAGAATCAGGAGGCAAGCTGGGGTCCATGTTTAGGGTTACTGCACATTAATGTAGCGGCCTCAACCACTAATGTGTTTTTTTTATTTTTCGTTATTCCTGCCCCGAAAGTCCTGATCACGCTGCATCAAAATAGACCCTAAAGTTGGCCCTAAAGCCTCAACCCTAAGCCCATAAGGGCGGCTAGCTAAACCGTTAAGTCAAGAACCCCCGACACCCTTGAGAACGGCAAAACCCTAAACCTGTCTAAGCCTTCAGCCGTAAACCCATAACCCGAAGCCCTAAACCCCCAAACCCCTAAACCGCAAACCCTAAACCCCACTAAACCCTAAACCCTAAGGCCCTCAAGCGCAGGTTGCGCACGACACCGCCGGTGCAAAGGGCGGCTCGAAGAGCCCCTCGCCTGGCAGCATCACGCAGGCCAGGTTCTTAGAGGCTCCATAGTTAATCTTAGGGGTACTTAGAAGTTGTTTTTAATTTTTTGTTATTATAATCTCTAAGAAACAGCTAAAATTATGATTTTTGCGAGGGTTCTAAGTTCAGTATAGTGTGCCACTGATGATCATTATTCTGATCACGATTGGTTTAGGGTCTAGGGTTTAGTGCCATTCTTATTGTAGGGTCATTGCTCACAATGAATGCTAGTTTTGTGTATTACAATGATTATCCAAGTGCTTTTGTAATCTGGTCTCGATTGGTCATAGGGGGAGGGGGTAGGCCCATAATAAGGACCTAATCAGGCTTATTAATGGAAGTATAGCCCCCTACCCCCTCCCCCTAAAACCCTTACAGTACCCTTCTCGTACCCTCTTCGATCCCTTCAAGGAACCCTAGTCCATACTCCCCCAAGGGTGGGGTTTAGAGTTTTTTGGAGTTTCGGGTCGGCGGTCTTAGGGTTTTTGGGCTTTCGGGTTGGCGGTCTTAGGGTTTTGGGCCATCCGTGCGAGAATCGAAGGGGAAAAGGAGGGACCCTTAGTGGGGACCCCTACCCTATAACGGGCTAGATAATGGGTATATAATAGCTATGTTAAGGGTATATACCTAGGGGTCCTTATTAAGGGTCCCTCCTTCTACCCTTGGAGAGAATGTCTGTCGTTGTCCTGAACTGAGGGAACTGTCTCAAGAATTCTGACGATGATTTGCAGGCATGCTCCTTCATTAGTCTGGGTTCTTGCTAAAGAGTTTAATTGAAGTTACCATAATCAGGAGACCACATTATTTGCTATAGATCCCTTTTATGGTAGCTTAAACTAAATCCCTTAACAAGAACCCAGTAGTGTTCTCTCATTACTACGGATCCTTACGCTGGCCCTTGAGTTGATCTGAAACCCTAGACCAAGCGGACGTAACCCCCAAAACTAGGCATTGAACCCGAAGCTAGGACCCAAACCCTGAGTCATGGAACCTGCAGCAATCCTTATAGCAGCGGTTACCAGACGGGCTACTTGCCTTAAAACAGATGGGCGAGAGGCATATGGAAGTTTCCGAAAATAGGGGACCCTAATGTAGTACCCTAAATAGTAGGATCCTTATTATATGTAGCCCAAAATAAGGTACCCCTGATTTCGGAAACTCCCATATTGGGGTTTAGACGGCAGGGGTTCAGGCTTGAGGCTTTCGGGGGGGGGGAAGGTTCAGGGTCTCGGGTTGTCAGTTGCTACACTTTAGGGCTTAGGGTTTCTACGGTCTAGATTCGAGAGGGGGCATGGTGAGGCTTTCAAGGATCGGCTTAAACCTGAAACCCGAAACCCTAAACCCGAAACCCTAAACCCTAAACTATGGTCTGGGTTTCACTTGTTCTAAGTTGATGGCACAAAGCCGGCGCAGCGGAGAAAGGGGCGCATGTCAACTTTAAAAAAACCCTAAACTACGAACCTAAATCTGGTATCGCGAAGGTACGCCCTCACAGCGGCAAGCGGGATTCAGCTGGGAGGCAGGGGCGGGTCTGTAGGATTTAGGGTGTAGGATCTGGGGTTGAGGGTTTTAGGGATTAGGGGTTTAGGGGTTTAGGATCCGGGGTTTAGGGTCTAGGGGTTTAGGGGTGTAGGGGTTTAGGATCTGGGGCAAAAGCCGGTATCCTGAAGACCAGATCCCCCAACCCTAAGTATCAAGGATACAGGGCCTTAATGGAATAGTTTTTTTGGGGTTTTGCTTACTATACTTCCAGAATAGTAATACACTTATATAAAGGAACCCTCAGGAACAATGCCCTCGTTGTCATGATCATACGACTGATTTGAACCTGCCGCTGTCGATCTAGGATTTGGGAGTTTCCGAAAAGAGGGGTACCTTATTTCGGGGTCCTTATAATAATGATCCTACTACTTAGGGTACTATATTAGGGTCCCCTATCTTGGAAAACCCCCATTTAAGGCTGGAGCCCTGAAACCTGATATCCTAAAGCCCGGCCAATATCATCTTTAGGGTTCCTTGCCCAAAAACCTACTCTAATTATTCAGCCTTAAACCCCAAACCCTAAACCCTAAACCTTAAACCCTAAAACCCTAAACCCTAAACCTAAACGCTAGACCTGAAACCCTACACTTTAAACCCTAAACCCTAAACCGCGTGAGAGGCTGATTTTCCCAGATGCTCTGGGTTTTGAGCCGAATCTGACGCCTGCGCAGTGCATCAAAGCGGGGACGCCAGGCAGCATTTGGAGGGTTTCTGAAAAGTAGGGTTTAGGGTTTAGGGTACAGGTATCCTGTTTAGAGGTATTTCGTAACAAAGATTAAACTTGTTGTTTCGGGTTTGCCCCGCAATTGTGACAAACTCCCATTTTCGTGCCCAGGAGAAGAAGCCCGGGAGCATCTGATCCCTGAACGTCTTTATATACCTTAGAAGGGGCCCCCACCCTGCAATAGTGGTAAAATAGGAATATAATAGGGCCCGAATACAATCCTTATAGTCACTATTACAGGGTGGGGGCAGCTTCTAATATACCTTCATGTAGAGTTTCGGGGTTCCGGGATTGAAAGTGTTCAAAGCTTCGCGCGACATCGGCCCGGGCACGTTTGTCGAGGAGCTGATGTTAGGATGTTGTAAGGGGGGGACATAGATTTCAGTGGTTACTATTGCTGGCACTACCACTGTTTCATGCTTGTCCTCGTTCATGTTGTTCTCCTGAGTGCTTGCTCGAAAGCCGCAGCATTCAAGCCATAAACCCCACCCCAACCCACTGCCCTAAACCGAAGCCAAACCCAACATCGTGAACTGAGGAAGGGCAGGGTCTCAACTTGCACATTGCAGCGCGGTTGTGCTCAGATGTTACTGTTCTGAACATTCAAGCTCCGATTGCTTCGAGTCTTGTTGGCTAACTAGTTATGCTTAAAAACCCCTACACCCCACACCTGAACCCCGATACCCTAAGCCCAACAAAGCACAGACGAACAGATCTTAATTACCTAAACATCGGAACCCCGTACTTCAAAAAAGAACACGCAAACAACAGCTAAAAGCACCCAGACCGTTAATGGAGCCTTAATGGTATGCATTCAGGAACCCCGAAAGCGACACTTACTCAGTCCCATGATCCTTTGAATGACCCTCCGGTTCTTAGTGGGGGGCAATGGATGCCTATGATAGCCACTTAAGGTCACTTATAGTACTCCCCATAACCCAGTCCAGACAGAGGATCTTCGGCGGATGCTACTTCAACCCGCGGGGAGGGAAGCCAGGTATCCTGGGCCGAGAGGCCAGTCAGCGGGTGCCCTATCCCTTTATTAAGGAATATGCCTGAAATTACACTAGGATCCCTAACCCCTGAATTTTAGACATGTACCGTAAATTATAGTAGGATCCCTGATAATCTGGTTTAAGGTATATTCCTTAGTTAAGGGATACTGGGGTCTCTGGGTATCTTGGGCCGAGAGGTGAGACAGCGGGGGTTTGGGTGCCAAGGTTAGTGGGACGATTTGGGGTTGGAGGCTCAGGGTTCTAAGCAGACCACCGAGCCCTAAACCCCTAAAGCTCTAAACTATCCGAAACCCTAAACTCCAAACCATTAAACCCTATAAACCCTCTGAGGGTTTAGGGCCTTTTAGGGCAAAACTATCCGAAACCCTAAACTCCCAACCTTTAAACCCGAAACCCTCTGAGGGTTTAGGGGGGGCATTTCGGGGTGTGGGTGTAGTACCATCCTAAGGGCAAAACTATCCCAAACCCCAAACTCCAGATCCTTAAACCCTGAACGATTTGAGGGTTGGGATGTGGGTCTAGGATTCGACCAGATTCTGCGGGCGTTATGGAGCTTGAGGCAGGAGGCTTATAAATAGGGTTTAGGCGGAGCTTCGTTTGCCGGTCTTCATTTTCTAAGTTGTGATCTTAGACGAAGCATCTATATTTAACGACGGAATATTTTTGGGATTGCAAAAAAAGAAGGATTGATTTCTTGGCCAGGGAGGCAGGGGACAAGCACGCGGCAGAGTGCAGGACCGACCCTTATAGACGGACGTTCGTTCCCTGGATTCTTCATTTCCGGGCGTGGGTCCTTTTGGAAATTGGATTCCGGAAACTCAACTCCGGAAACTGGTTTCCGGAAACACAGCTCCGGAAACCGGTTGCCGGAAACACAACTCCGGAAACTGGTTGCTGGAAACACAACTTCCGAAAACTGGTTTCCGGAAACACAACTCCCGGAAACTGATTTCCGGAAACACAACTCCGGAAACTGGTTTCCGGAAACACAGCTCCGGAAACTGGTTTCCCGGAAACACAACTCGGGAAAACTGCTTTTCAGGAAACAAAGCTCACAACTTGGACAACTGCGGAAACTGGAACACAACTCCTGAACTGGATTCCGGAATACAACTCCGGAAACTGGTTTCCAAAACAGAAACTGCTTTTCAAATACAACTCCAGAAACTAGGTTCTAGAAACATATTCCGAAACTGTTTACGGTTTCTAGACGGAAAAATGTGAGCAAAATCTTTGAGAGTAGAACAAGAACAGAGGCTGGAGATGGACTTTTGCAAAAGAAAGACAGGTTTTTGGGCAAGTAGGCAATTGTCAAAATCAACGAGACACCTTCACGCCGCGCCAGAAGTTTGTGCGATCTTGCAACATTGGTCAGATGTTCTTCACTTAGATTAAAACTTAAATCCATGTTATACCAACAGAAACAAGCAAAGTTTGAGTTTTTGACAAACTTTGACGTGTCAAAGGTTGTCAAGACTGAGCCGAAGATGGAAGATCAAGTGAAAAAGGATACAGAGTCCAGATCCATCAAAATTTACAGATCCGAATGTGTTTGTGCACGAGATCATATTTGGGCATGCGCGCGAGTGCGCGTGGTGCCCAGTGTTCGAAAACCTGTGTTGCAACAAATCTGTGTTGGAACTGTTCAAGTTTGTGTTGGTTGTTTTGAGGATTTTTGATCGCACTGCGAAAAACAATTTTGCATTTTCTAAAAACAAATTTGTTCGAACTTGTTTGAACGCGACTTATAGGGACTCAAGACTGCTCCATTGCCGCCAGGAGAAAGCGAGACTCTAGAAACAGTCACAGAGTTTGAGCGTCAAAGACAGTGGACAGCTGCTACGCACGCAAAACATCATCGACACTTTGTAAATTCGAAGACTCTGACTACTACGGCTAGCAATAAACACCAAGACACGGGTCGCAAGCCGAAGCCTGCGCTGGTTCTCTTGAAGCTTTTTGAGACCTCTGTCTCTGTGTCGCGTCCATGCTTGGCACGAAGCCTGAGCGTAGCGACTTTTCTTGCTTTTAACTTCCTCCGAGCCGACATGGCCGGCGGTGGTAAGCGTGGTGTCTTTCTCAGGTAGAACAGTTTCTTTCTCAGGTAGAAGAGTCTCGTGAACGGCCAACAAAAGCTGTGCGCATGTCCTTTAAGGTGCTACCCGCTCCACTGGCAGCCAACGCAATACGGCACTGAAGCTCCAGGAGGAGTACTTGCCTCGCCGAAGTGCAAATGCTTGAACATCCTGCCGCTCGGTACTCAGGCAAGACTCGGCGAAGAACACCCAGAATGTGTGCTTCTAAGTAACTTTGTGCTAGCTGAATTTGCACGTAGCAGTCAAGCGGTGTCGAGGCTCCGCACAAGAACAACCAGCCGTGGGAACCCTACATCCGTGCAGCAGCCATACGTTGGCGAGCTTTGGAACTTTGCACTTTCAGGACGCAGGCCACGAAGACGGCCGTGGCAACCCCACAACTGCACCAGCCTTACACCCTCAAGCCTGTGAAATTGTCTGAGGACGTGAGCAAGAAGGAGACGAAACCGGCTGTGGGAGCCCTATAGCTGCATAAGCCGTACGCCAGCAGCCGCTAGCAAGCTTGTGAAATTGTCTCAGGACGCGACCAAGAAGGAGGACAAACGGTTTGTTTGCACTCTGACTTCACGCAAACAACTCTTGGAGAGGAGCCTGGCTCAACCGGAATGTGGAAGTCTTAGCGGTCATGCCTACAGGCTGAATCTGATAAGACCCACAGCAAGCCGGCAGTTAACTTCACCCGAACTGCAGCCTCGTGGAAGCCCTGGCGCAGATGGCTAATCGCAGAATGTTTTGTGTTCGGCAGACGCATGCCTTAGAAATGCTAAGGCCCCCAGAGCTGCTGGACTTGAGGCCCCTCGAGGAGCAGGCGCCACGCGTGAGCATGCAAACCTGATGTGTCTTGGGAAGCCGACCTGGGAGGCCATAGACGCTACCAAGCATCTGCTGGTGTTCAGGGGTTTAGGGGTTTGGGGTTTAGGGTTCAGGGGTTTCGGGGTTTAAGGTTTTAGGGTTTTATGGGCTTAGGGTTTAGGGTTTAGGGGTTTAGGGCTTTAGGGTTTTGTGGGTTTGGGGTTTAGGGGTTTAGGGTTTAGGGGTTTAGGGTTTTGGGGTTTAAAGTTTAGGATTTTATACTTACCCTAAATGGAGTTACACCAACTATAACTAGAACCTTACTTAAAACCTACTTACTGAGTCCCCTGGGCCTCCAAGTAGAGCTTCGGAGTTGGGGCAGGAGGCTCTGGGGCTTTCCAGCAGAGGAATGAACCATACTTCTCTGTGACGATTTCGGGTCCAGGGTCGAAACCCTAAACTCTAAACCTTAAACCCTACACCGTAAACCTTAGGCGCGAAACCCCAAACCTTAAACCGTAAGCCCTAAACCTTAAGCCCTAAACACCAAACCCTAAACCTTAAACCTTAAACCCTAAACTATGCAAGATGGTCCAAAGGAGTCTGAGTACAGGAGGTGGTCAGTGACAGGGTTTCCATCTTAGTGTACGCTCAATCTTGAGCGAGTTTCTGACTCTCTGCAGTGGAGAAAGAGGCTATTGCACTTAAAAGAAAACCCAAGCCGGAGGGTCTGTGGGACAGTCTCCTTGTTTTTTGGTTAATTTTTTTCCATGTAAAACCCAAGAGAATGTTAACCATGTTATTTTCATTATGGTTCTATGGGTGTTTAGGGTTTCAAACATCAGCCCTCGAACGCCAGGTTGGCTAACATCTCGAAACAGACGCCGTGTCGCCGGTGAACATGTTATGTCGGGCTTTGCCCTGCAACCTTGCGCCCGTGCACCCTGACCGCAGGGCTTGCGAAGACGAAAACCAGCAACATGCCGTAAACATGGAATTTTCAAGAATCAACACCAAACCCGAAACCCTAAACCCGAACCCTTAAACCAGAAACCCGAAGCAACCGGAGGTGAAGATCGACCACAAGGAGTTCCCCAACTCTTGGTTCAAAAACGTGCCGGAGAAGTTCTTCTTGAGCCGGAGGTGCTGGTGGTGTGGGTCTGATTGCTTAGGGTGTTGGGATGAACAGTTTCGGGCTTAGGATTTAAGGCTTAGGGTTTAGAGTTTAGGGTTTAGGGTTTCTAGGGTTTCAAGTTTGTGAGGCTTGGCGGTTGGGTTAGTTTTGGATGGGAGATGGGGTTTCTCTGAGTTGGGAAATCCAACCTTGAGGCTCTTCTTCCATGACGCTGGGGAGGTTTAGGGTTTTCGGGTTCAGGGTTTAGAGTTTAGGGCTTCAAGTTTAGAGCTCGGTTCCAGGATTCCGCAGGAGACTGTCAACCTCTGCCTATATTTGTCTCTACCGTAGTTTAAATCTCCTCCTCAATGGCAATTTGTAAACAGTCCCAAACTCTCTCTGAAGCCGTAAACACAAACCCATTAACCAGGGTTTCGGGTTTCGGGTCTGGGATTCAGCGTTGCCCTAAACTCCCAGCCTGGAGCCTCGAGCCCTTATAGGTTGATGTCCTGAAGAGCCTTTGCATCCAAGGGGAAAAGGAGGCTTAATGGGGACCCCTACCCTATAATGGGCTATGTAATGGGTATATAATAGCTGTACTAAGGGTATATACCTAGGGGTCCTTATTAAGGGTCCCTCTTTTTACCCTTGGATTGCAGAACCCGTAGAGGAACCCAGTAGGGTTTAGGGTTTAGGGATAAAGGATCCCGCATATGGAGGTACTGTGCTTCCACGAACAAGTACGGCGTGAAGTCGGGCCAGGATCAGGAAAGCGGGCGGTAGGGTTTCTTTAAGACTTCCGGGTTTAGGGTCTAGAAACCCTAAACCCGAAACCCTGAATCCTGAACTCTGAACCCTACACCCTAAACCCCAAACCCTCAACCCTAAACCGTCTAGAGCTTGGGTTTTCGGGGGGTTTAGGGGTTTATGGTTTGGGGTTTTAGGGGTATCGGGGCATAGAGGTCGGGCTCGTGGGGCTGGGAAATGTAGGCTTTTGGGGTTTGGGGGGTGTAGATTTCAGAGGTTTAGGGTTAAGGGTTTAGGGGTTTAGAATTTAGGGGTTTAGGGGTTTAGGGTTTGGGGTTACAAGAGGAGGTAAGAGGTTTACCAAAACGATCAGGGTTCAAGCGCGGTTCCTGTTACAAGGAGCCGCCCCAAAAGCGCCACCCTGTGTAGAAAGTAGGATTTTTCGCCTCCAGAAAGAGACGCCCTGGGTAGTCCGATCTTGGTGGTAGGGAAACCAGGATGCCCAGTAGTACCCTTATTCCCTTTTTGTAGTCCTAGGTTCCTCATAAAGTTACCCAATACCAAAAAGAGAGGCCTTTTTATTCTTAGGTTACTGGGTATCCTAGGGAAACCTCTAAAGTAAAAGCCAGAAAGTTGGAATATGATTATCCTAAACCCTTTATGGTAAATTAGAAGGTATCCTACCCTGAAACCATATTCCAACTTTCTGGAGTTCCCTGTAAAGGGACCCATCGAACTCTTTGCGGTGAGCCAGGGGTATTCTTCAAACTACGAATCCCTTGGCCAAGTTGGCCAGAAATCCGAAGCCCGATGCTAGCGAGAGCAGAAACGCTTCTTAGGCGGCCACGTGGAATGCGGGAGAAGCATCGACAGACTTGAGCATAAATTCTCACAGTCACCTTGGCCATGTTGTGTTGTTGTGCTTTGCGTCGACATTCCGCCCCGGAACGACAGCAGACTAGAAGACCCCACGGCGCCACGCTTGAGTTGTGTAAGAGTTACATGTAAAAAAAGACATTTGTGATGCCCTGACAATCATAGCAGCACCCTCATGAAGCACTTGTCCCAGCGTGCCCTCAAAAATCGAAAGGGCCCAAGCACCACTGTAGTATCTACAGCAATTGCTTGGTAGAAGACTGTTCCAGAAAAGTATCTACTATACTATTTACTATTGCTTGGACCCTTTGAGAAGCCCAAACCCGCAACCCAGACCTAACAAACCTTTTGCAGTCAGGCAGCCTGGGAAATGGCTGGCTGGATGCGAGAACAAGATCCACGCGGCTGGTTTCAGTGGTACTGCCGCTTCTACCAGGCTCGGTGCATGCAGCGTGGAAAATAGTACGGCATAGTGTACATATAGTATATAATACAGTACAAGGTGGCATAATATAGTATGATATATAGTATAGTATACAGTATAAAGGAGGTTCAGGAGAAAAGGGGACCGTCACATAGGCCCGAAGTAGTAAGGATCCCTAAGTAAGGGTACCCCGAACAGATGGGGATTATGCCGCTCCCATGTTGATGTCGATTGAGGCTTTCAATTTTCAGGCATTCCGAATCGCAATCAGCACCCAACCCCCAGATCCCGAAACCCAGAAAGAGATCAGGGCCGCCGTAGCCCCGATGATGCTCGGCAAATCCAGCGTTGGAAAGCCTGCGCAGGCGTGGCCCAGTGACAGTCTTTTTCGGGTTTGGGGAGTCGGGTGTCGGGTTTAGGGCGCATGGTGCAAGAGTGTTGCGGTTTTGCTGGGAGACGCGGGGCATGTCAAGCTGTTGGTTGTCACCTACAGATTGGGAGCGCGAGGGATCTAAATGTAAGACCGAAATAGTAGCAGCCCCGTCGTCGGTATAACTCTGGGTTTTGGGGTCTAATTTTCAAGTTTGTGACTGTAAGCCCTAAACCCCCAACCCAGCCAATCCCATTGTGAGTGGCTGCTAGTAGGACATACCACTTGGTCGCATGTTGGGCGGTTGCGCCTGAGTCTCCAACAGGGCCCTAAACCCTAAATTGCTCTAAACCCCCAAACCAGTCATTAGACCCTAAACCCTAAAACTGCTTAAACCTACACCCTAAATTGCCCAAAACCTCAAAACCTAAACCCTACTGTAAATTGCCCTAAACTCCTAAAACCCCAAGCCCATTCGAGGGGAGCATCGGGCTTCTGCGTTGTTCGGAGGTCTTGGCATTTTCAAGCCCTCAAACCCTAAACCCTATACCCCCCTAAACCCTAAGCCCTAAACCCTCAACTCCCTAAACCCTAAACCCCCCTAAACCCTAAGACCTAAACCCTAATCCCTAATCTTTTGACGATGCCACTGTTTCTGGGCGACTTCGAGGGGTGAAGTATGGTTCGTGGCCCTTAGAGTTCAGGGGTTTCAGAGTTTTTCAGGGTGTGGGGTTTGCAATTTTGCGTGATTTCAGAATTTTGAAGTTTGGGGTTTAAAATTTCAGATTTTTGAAGTTTGGAGTTTAAGGTTCTTGCTTTTTTCCTGCAGGCTTCCTCGGACGCTGGCGCAACCAGCTCTGCTCGCGCATCAATGGCTCCGGCAGGACCTTCGACGATGCAGCGGTTGCACCCGTGATACTGGGCTTCGGAGTACCCTACTTTAATACTTTTTTCTTAAAGGAACCATTATGAAATAGAAGTTTATATCTTTTTTCTCCCTGGTTACTTAAAAACCCAGGATAAGGCAGACGCTGCTTCACTGGGCTTATGAGCTTACAGAGTACGATTGGGAGCTCTGGTTCACCCGCGGGTAAAAGGCCATATCTGCTTTCGCGTGCATGCTACGCAAGCCGAGGTCCAAGAATCGTCGAAGGGAGCTGGAAAGGAGTACTGGTGCAGCGATAGTCATGATGGCCATCGTGGTCACTGGTCATCATGTGCATGGTTGTTCATTGCCTCCTGATGACAGTCATGACTGTGAAGTTGATAATGATGGCAGTTGTGAGGCGGCGATCGTCCTCATCGACATCGCTGTCGTAATAGTATTAGAAGTTTCGCGGACATGAATGGTTCTCGGTATCTTCACATGCAAGGCTTCATTGCAGCATGCAAGGTTTGTATGCAGCTTCAGAATGATGCCCATCCTGATAATTTCGTTCCGGGGGTGCACCGAATCCCTTAACAACTCACACACCAGCGACGACCCTCAATGCCGAAGCCTTGCCCTAAGCCCTTAAGCCCTTAGGCCGTAGACCTAAACCCCTTAACCCCAACCCCAACCGTGGTGGCAGGCAACACAGGATAGGACCGCTGCAGGTGGCCTCAAGCAAAGTTGCGAGTTGTCCTGTGCCTGCCAGGTGGCGTGTTGGGCGTGTTGTTTCGTTCATAGGTCCACGTCGACTTAATGCAACTTGCCACCACATCCTCATGGCTGTTTAAGGATCCTAGGGTTGAGTTGAAGGTCAAGGGTCATCAGCCAGAGCCAAAGATCTTCCAGCACGTCGCATCAGAGAAGGCTGTAGAAACATCTCCATAGCCGCCGCGCGCCAATTTATGCGCCCCGCTTCGGCCTGCTGCTCCCCGTTTCTTGGTGCTGAAAAGCAATTTTGGTTTGGGGTTTAGGTTTTAGGGCCTTAGGCTTTGGGGTTGAGGGTACGTTTTGTTGAGTACTGCAGACCCCGGATCAAGGGATCCTGACATTCAGGCCCTGTCGTGGGTCTCCCTGAAAAGTTTAAACAGTTTCCGTATAGATCTTGAAGGCTTTCAGTACATTTGCGAGACACCAAACCCTGAACCCTAAACCCTCACACCCCCCCTCAAAAAACCACCAACCCTGCTCACTCCTCAAGACCCCAGGCACCATGATGAGTCTTCGTCTGGTCCTGCAACAGCTGCTCTGGCCTCAGTCATGTGTTGGGTCCACAACTCCGAGGATCATCTCCAGTTTAGGGTTTAGGGTTTGATGTGCTCTCTTCCGAAATGAGGTTTCCCGATTGACGGTTTGGCATTCTCAACACTAGAATCGTCAATGCCATGTGCTATTTGAAGGACCATGTAACCTAGTCAGTATGGTTACAGGTGCATTACTTAGGGGCAAAAAACATACTTGTAGTGAGTGCTCATGCCCTAATTATGACCCTCCTTGCTAAGTGTCCTGAACTTTTACACAGTGGCGGTCTCCATCGCAGCCGCCATAGAAAGTGTCAAGACTGCATACTTCCCTACGCCCTACGCCTACGTGCGCTTTCCAGAAAACAGGAGACTCGAGGATAGACCACATATACAACGGTCCATGTTAAGCAACATCAAACACAGATGCTGGAGTGTTGAAGAGCACTGGCACCATCCCCTCGGAGTCCTTATATACATATACGTTGGCATGCCACAAACCCCTCCACGTGCCAAGGCCTCGATCTTACTCTTAAAAACTTCCTAGCATTTGCGCCAGCTTTGCTGAAATGGTCACGGCACTTAGTAAATGATATTATAGGTACCCTCCTCGGGGCGATTTTCAATGTAGTTACAAGTATTACAACCCCCACTACGTGTACTTACCTCCAGGAGAACCCTACTAAGTCCAGTCATCCGTAGGATAACCCTACGTACTAGAGTGAACCCCAGAAAGTTGGAACATTGATTTAGGATGATTCATGCTGGGATTCCCTATACTTTGCTTTAAGGGCACGAGGCTACTGCTGTTTTAATTTTTTGGCTTCTACTGTAAGTCCACTGATCCATCGAGTGGTCCAGGTGCTGTGCGCATCGCACAGATGCATCCGGCCACGCCCGATTCCTCGATAATCGGCTCCCGGACGGCATTTCGGGGACGGCCAAAGCATCTAGTATAGAGGCCTTAGTTAGACTAGGGTTTTGGGGCCCATGATACTATAATTATGATAATGAATCCCGGAACTGGTATAGGTAATTATTGAGGCCCATTATATTATGAATGTTCTATCAGTCCTATCGGATTTGGTCTAAGGGCATGGTTTGGGGGTCCGACCTGGGATGTTTCACAGCGTCCGCCAAGAGTTTGCCTGACATCTGCCTCGTTAACAGCTCTCATGCCTCAAGACTCAGCCGGCACAAGGATCTTTTTAGGTAGGGTTTTGGGCCGCCTTTAGCGATTAGGATTTGGAGTTCATGGGTTTCGAGGTTTATGTAGAATTCCGATGTTCAGGGTTTGCTTTAGGGAGGAGGAGCTAAACTCCACCACGACAAACATCTTAGCTCCTTTGACTGTCAGCTTTTGCCAATAGAAACAGAAGAAGCACACAAGCTTGACACAGAGAAGCCACCTTTTATTGGTGATCCTCCCCTCCCAAAACATTATAGGGTTTAGGGTTCAGGGGTTTAGGGTTTAGCTTCTCTCCGAGCAAGTCACCTGCTACCCTAAACCCTGAGCCCAACGGGCCACAAGCCTTGGACTCGGGATTCCTGAAGCTTCGCAGCCCTTGTAAATTTAACTGTGGTCAGTAGGGAATGGAAGAATGGCAGCAATAGTAGCTATAATTGTACCCCATTCCTCTATTCCCTACTAACCAAAGCCAAGTTATAAAACCTCAAACCACGAGTTCCCAGCGCTCAGACGCCGTCAATTTGTCAGATCATCCACTGTCTGGTTCTTAGTAGGGAATGGGGGAATGAATCCCTATAGTAGTCCCTATATAATCCCAACAATAGTCTCCATAATCCATTCCCCCGTTCCCTACTAAGCACCAGACAGTAATCCTCAGCCTTCGAACGCCCGGCCTCCGAAACAGGTAGGGCGTTGATGGGCCAATACCGCTACTGCTCACCGATACTACTGCTTAGGATTGCTATCCGCGAGCCGCATACCCTAAACTCTAAACTGCCCGTCCTCACCCGCAATGCAGCGAAGGCTTCAGGGCGTCAGGAGCCCAGTCGGCTCGTCTGGGTGTGCGGAATACAGGGCGGAAGGAATCACTAGTGGGTTTAGGGGTTTAGGGTTTATAGGGCTTAGGGTATAACATTTGGAATCATAAGCCGCACATAGGTTGCTGGGTTAGTCTGAGTCACATTGTTAATGTTTAGTCATCAAGTGTCGCTTGTAGCTCCTTCTTTGTCTGGCTTAATGTACACCGAAAGCCCCATCCAATTATTCAGACCTGAATAGTACGGGCTTGTCGTGGGGGGGGGGGGGGTTGGCGGTGTAGGGCGCAGCAGGATTTACGGTTGGTGGGGAGGTTTTAGGTTCGAAGACGCAGGGTCTCGACTAAAGGATTAATGAATCACGGTGTCTTACTATGACCTTCGAGTAGGTCTACATCTATCTATATAAATCTAAACACATTTTATCAGTTTCACCATATCATATTATTTTGGATTCTGTTTTGATATGTTATGTTATGTTATATTATGTTTTTAAATGTTATGTTATATGTTTTATCATATCATATCATATCATATCATATCAAGCAGCATTATGTTGTGTTCTATTTATGTTGTAGTCTACTATCTCGTATTATGTCATACTTAACCGCCACCACTCATACCCTGAGCCCAAACCCCGCAAAACTCGAGCTGTGCATCCGGATCGCCCCCGAGGCTAATCCTGCTTCGGCGAATGTCTGCGGCCCAACACTCCTTCCCGGAGACTCCAGTATCCCTTAATCCAGGAATAGGTTCCTACTATAATTTAGGGTATATTCCTTAATTGAGGGATATTGGAGTCTCGAGGTTCCGGTTTGGGGCCATTTGGAGGGCAGGGGCGCTGTTTCTTAGTGCTACTATATAGGTAGTTGTCAAAATTGTGGCCCTTTTTGGGGTACCCTAAATATTAGGTGCCGTATTATGATCGGGGCCCAAAAAGGGACCATAATTTTGACAACGACCCGTCTGGCATGATGATCGTGACGTTTGTTTTTTGATTATCATAACTATGGTTAGGCGGTTAGGCCTCTGGAATGGTTATTGCTAGCCTCTTTCTTCTTCTTCTTCTTGTGGGTCAGTGTTCGGATTCTGAGTATCATTTTCACTATCAGTCTCAGCAGTTGTGCCTTTTTTTGCGACAGGGTGCTGTTGGTTGAGCTGTTCTGGGTTGCTTGGAATACTTAAATTCCCAATACCCAACCTGCCCAGATTTCTCAGGCGGGTTTGGGCTTTAGGGCCTCAGGGTGTCCCTTAAACCCCAAACCCCTAGGCTCTGAACCCCAAACCCCTAAACCTTAAACCCCTAAACCCCTAAACCCTGAACCCCTAAACCCCTAAACCTTAAACCCCTAAACCCTTAAACCCTGAACCCCTAAACCTCTAAACCCCTAAACCCCTAAACCCTTAAACCCCTAAACCTTAAACCCCTAAACCCCTAAACCCTGAACCCCTAAACCCCTAAACCTTAAACCCTAAACCCTTAAACCCTGAACCCCTAAACCCCTAAACCCCTAAACCCCTAAACCCCTAAACCCTTAAACCCCTAACCCCCTAAACCCCTAAACCCTTAAACCCTGAACCATCCCAGACCCCAAAGCCTTGCGAGGTTCGCCGACTATCCAAAGGTTTCGGAAGAGTCTCGGGCCCCAGCACTTTTGGGCTTAAGCCCCAAATCGGAATACGGTACGATATGAGGCTTTCCAAAATTGGGGGTACCTTATTTTGGGGTCCTTATAATAAGGATCCTGCTATTTAGGGTACTATATTAAGGTCCCCTACGGTTGATGATGCATGACCCATAATAAGGAATATACCATATTCCCATATATGGTCACGCGCTCCGCAGCCCCCCCCCCCCCTCCCCCCCCAAAGGTCAATGGTCCGGATATAGGGTGGGGCCCCCCCCTCCCCTGTGGTGTGG